GCTGTATTTAATTATAATTTTCTTTAAAAGTATATTCATACAATTGAAGAATGTTTTGTACCAGGTATGTATATCCACCGCACATTTTATTTCACCGAGTAAGTTTTTATAATTTTATTTTTAATTTTAGCCCTTATATCGTGGCTAGCGATTCGGAATGTTATTGCGATATTGATAATTTATTTTTAAAAAGTTTTGGCTCGAGATCATATAATGAAAAAGAAAACATTATTAAAAGAGAAAGGCCAATGCCTAAATTAAATATAAACGATTCAATAAAAAATTTGTTCGACATTTTCACGATAAAATGGCTTTGTAGATGCATAAAAATGCAAAAATTGTTTTGTTGGCTTGCCTACTATTTTAAAAATAAATTAGTTTGTGGAATAAGAATGGCTTCCACAATTTAGCTGGCAAAAGACACGAAAAATCGTCGATTCTTTCGTATTTGAAGCAATTTGAAAATCGAAGCGGAACAGAATTTAACATTAGTAAATAATATAAAATAAATATTGAAAATTATAACGAGATATTTACGGTTAATAGATATAACATCTATTTATTTAGATATATGTTTTTATCGAAGCCAGAATTGATATTTAGAGGACATATGGAATATATTAAATCTAATAACAGAGGTAATTATATTAAACTTGTTTATTTATTAAGTACGCCAGATAAATAATCTATTAAAAATACATTTAAAGAAAGAATTAACTGATTGCCCCTGGAAGTCGGCTTCTTATAGAAACACAGCTTTCCTATTATCAAATGTCACGGCATGCTACTGGTGTGGGGTGTTAAGATATCAATGTACATGGGAAACTTTGCGCTTTTTTTTTATTTGCGTTTTAATTTAACAGGGAAAAGTTCTTCGCTTTAAAAGTTATAATAATAGTATTATGTTATATAAAAGTTTGCTCTTAGGTGTTGCTGGTGTCAATATTTTACTTTTGTTTTGGAAATTACGTAACTGGTATTTGGATTATTTTGATATTGTGTTTACTTATATTATATTGTTTTAATCGGCGTGTTTTATTTTTTATACAGTAGAACCTCGAAAACTCGGCCTAATGTGGACCGAAGGGTGGCCGAGTTTGTGAAAATGCCGGGTTATCGGGAATGGGGTTAAAAAAAATAAGTACGAGTGTTTCCTCAGAAAATACTGTACTGTACTTGTATGTATTGTTTACTTGAGAATATAACAGAGAATAAACTGCCCAAATACCCTTAAACAAAGGAAAAGTACGTCCTTTATGAAGGCATAGAGCCTTTACTACATGAAAATGAAAATTAATGAATACACTGTGTACAGTAATTTACCTGATAAGACAGACCTCAGAAAAATACTTTATGAGAGCTTTTATACTTTTATAAAGCTGTCTATAATGAAAATTAGTTAACTAAGGATTTTTTTGCCCTGCCAGGGTGTGGTCGAGTTATCCGGAGTGCCGGGTTATCGAGAGCCGAGTTTTCGAGGTTCTACTGTACTGGTAAATTTATATCAATTGTGTTATTATATATTATGTATAATTCTATTATATGATTGAATATGTAGTTGTATTTGTGGTTCTTTTGCCAAAATGGCGTTTTTGATACGACGGCACTTAGTTACGATGCTGCTTACCAAAAATGTGTAATTAATTTCCTGATAAAATATCAAATATTGTTATTTAAATTAATTTATTATAAATAATGCAATAAAAATTTTATCATCGAAAGTAAGATAATAATTAAATATGGTGTATCTATGAATTTTGTATATTAAATTTAAGATGGAAAACCGAGTTAGAACTTACCTGAGACCATGTCAATGTGTCACTCTAATGTTAATTTAGTATTTTTTATTTTTATTGTGTCGGTTTATATTTAAATTGTTCTCAGATGTGTATTATATATAGAAACAACGTATTAATTAAAAATTGAATTGAAGTTTATTTTGTGTTCTTATAACAAGCATTACATTGCTTCGAAGCCTGAGGACGACCGTTGAAAACGGACAAAAATGTTTGTTTAGCAAGTAGTTAAAACTGAAATACAATCAAGTGGTTAACATTTAGCCTAACTATAAACATTACTAATGATAAATTTGAAAAGAACACGCACTAAGATATTATATGATGTTATAATCTTATATAAGAAGTAAAAGAACGGATTTTCTAAAACAAAACTGATGAACAAACTTCTAGTTACTTTTTAACCGAAATGAATTTTTCGAAATTCGAACGTACACTATGTGTAGTGAAAATAACAACACAAGAGACTCTACACCAGTGTTTTTCAACTACTTTTTGTCTCGCAGCACACTTGAACCTACAATTAAATTTCTGCAGCACACTTAAATTAGAATGAGTAAAAACAAATATTGTATTTTTCATAAATTTATTTATTAACACAAAGCAATTTACTATAATTTCTAATAAATAATTAAAATTCTTAGAAAATCTTATTTATTTTTCGGTTTATAATTCAACATTTAACGAGACATATGATTTGAAATTCAATTAACATTAAGTCTTAATTTGCATTTAAAAGTGGAACAATAATTGCCTTTAGAAACCTGCCCAATGTCTCACCAACTCTATGTTAAAATAATTTGAACTAAATATGAACTATACACACATATTTAATTTAAATAAAATTTAATTTTAAATTAAATAACCCTGTTTTATGTACTGTACATATAATTTTGTTTCTGAATATATATTTTTTACATTATGTATAGGTTTATTTATTTGTCACGTTTCTGGTAATACCATAACATTGTACAACAAAACTCACTGACTGAAGATTTGATAACGACGGTTTACCTCACCAAAATACTTATCTTAAAACCAATTAAACTTTAATTTGGATGCCGTATTTTGTTTGTGTTTACATTCTAAACCACAATTAAATATACACGAAATATATTCGCAGAATAATAAATGATGTCTGAATGGTCGAGAGAGTAAGGTCTAATCCAGAGGTGGGGAACCTTTTTACCATTAGAGGCCACATTTAAATTAGGCAGCAATAAGAGAGGCCGCATAAGCTGATTGACCTAAGAAAGTGACTTTTGTGAAATTATTATAGTTTTTCTATAGATTTAACAATTTATTGCATTATATAGAAAAAATAAAATATAATACTACAAAATTTTAAATATAATATACATATAAAATAATATAAAAATATTATAAAAAAATACAATAAAAAATATTTTTTTATTCACTAAGTTAGTGACTTATTTGGCTTTGTTTTTTGTTTGACAGTAATTGTATATTTGGATCAAGCTTCGTAACACACAGCTTTAATTGATCCTCTAAATGTGCATCTGTAATTTGCGTTCTTAAATTTGTTTTTATTTTTGACATGAGAGAAAATGTTGTCTCGCAACAGTAGGTACTTCCGAAGCAGGAAAGTAAACGGCGAGCATGTTCTCGAAGGCATGGATATTCAACAGCATTTTTCCAGATTTCTATGGGATCCTTTTTAGCGTTAAAAAGGGATTTGATGATACTATCTTCCCCTAAATCAATTAACTCCATTTGTAGTTCTGCAGGAGCCTCGGATATATCTATTAAATGTGGTTCAAATGCCAGTTTCATAGCAGGAGTGTGCTCGTCAAAATCAGAAAATCTATTAGTATACTCTTCTATTAAACAATCCAAGACACCTACATATTCATCGAATATTTTATTTTCACAGTTCTGCTCATTTAACATTTTAGCTAGCTCCGGGAAGTGTTGTGCAGATATTTCCGATCGACAAAGCAATGTTTTGAAAAATGATAATTTTTTTCTAAACGCTTGGATCTTTTGCCACATTTCATAAATATACCTCGTTTCACCTTGCAGGCAAATATTTAAATTGTTTTGTTTTGTCATCATATCAGACAAAAATGCAAGGTTTCTGAGAAATACTTCATCTGATAGATCACATTGTTTTCCTTGTTCTTGATAAAAGTTTAAAATTTGTCGTCGTAAAGACAAAACTTTTATCAAAACCTGACCTGTTGATAGCCAGCGAACCTTGCAGTAGTATGGTAGGTCAACACTATACGTTTCCTCATCTAAAGAGAGCATCTGCCGAAATTCACGATGACGCATTGCATTTACGCGAATATAGTTGACAATGGCAATGGTTCTATCCAGAGTGTCTTGCAAAATGGTAGATTTTGCGCAAAGATTTTGCTGATGCAAAATGCAGTGAAATGATATCAATTTTTTCAAGTTTAAGTTTTCCTTTTTTAACAAAGCAACGAATCCTTCTTTTTTGCCTCTCATGGAAGGTGCGCCATCGGTGCAGACACTGACTAAATTACTGACATTCAATTGTAATTTATTACATACTTCTTTGAAGTTTTCGAAAATATCGGCTCCTCGAGTTCTTCCAGTTAGTGTACCCAACGCAAGTAGTTCTTCGTAACATTGAAAATCTTTAGTTATAGCACGAATAAAATATAAAACTTGTGCCGAATCTGTTTTATCAGTGCTTTCATCTAAAGCAATTGAAAAATAAACATCTTCATTTTGTATAATTGTATGAAGTTGCTCTGTTACATTTTGCGCTAATTCGTGCTGTCGATCTGTTACAGTTCTTCTTGAAAGAGGTAATTGTTTGTATTTGTCGACATTTCTTGGATCTAACATACTCACTGCTTCAACAATACATTCTTTAATTATTTCAATGTCACTAAATGGTTTGCCCCTTTTTCCAAGTATATGTGCTATTTTATACGTAACAGCAACTGCAGCGGAATTTTGATTTACAAAGGCACTAAAAGATGCCTGCTGATGATGCTTCTCATTTTTCAACTTTTGAAGTGCAGCTTTTCGTGATTCACCTTCTAAAGCGAAATATTTATGTTCTTTATGAGTCAAATAGTGTTTATTTGCATTCGCTTTTTTTAAAGTATTTAAAACTGTATTGCACAACAAACACATCATTTTATCTTTCTCAGCAGTAAAGAAAAAATCTAACTCCCATTCTACATTAAATGTTCTGTTTTCATCACCTAATTTTCTTCTCTTACTATTTGACATGATGGATAAAAAAACGAATATCAAATAATATCTTTAACAAAGTGTATACTTTCTAGAAATACAATAAAACCGTGTAACTGTTATAAGCACTCACTGTTAACTACAGTTTGCTGAAGATCGCAACAGGGAAGCGTTGAGAGATGCGAGTCAGAGAAGCCAAAGCAAGGTGTGACACTCAAATGGGAGATCTGAAACCGAGTTTTGTTTACTTCTTAGACAAGGTAGTTGGCGCTGCTAGCGCTTTTTAAACAGTTTTTTAAAAAATTAACATTTTTTAAAAAACTGTTTAAAAAATTAACATTGAGTGTCCAAGTCTGAAATGGATGGTCTGTGGGCCAGAGCCTCGCTCATGCATGTTAGAGTCCGTTTCAGACTAGTATTCTGACGTCATGTTACAATATGACTGTCTTTGGCGGGATTTTTCGCGCAACTGTCATGGTGTTGATGTACAATAGTTGTTTGAAACGAACTCTACCATTTTTGTACTAGGTGGCAAAGGGCCGCACAAGAACCTCGCGGAGGCCGCATGCGGCCTCGAGGCCGCAGGTTCCCCACCTAGGGTCTAATCTATCACTCTGGGATCCTGGTTCGAGTTTGGGTCGGTTCAAAAATTTTACCAGTTCCGGATATTTTGAGTTTCGTCCTATTGTGGATTTGGCTGAACTTGTGGTGAGCATGGAAAGTATGCAGAGTTAAAAATATAAAAAAATATATCATCAAAGTATATTTTATTCATAAACACAATAAAATTGAAACAGTAGTTTAAATTTAACAACATACAATAAGATGCAACAATTACTTATATTTACTATAAATAAATATTTGTATGATTTTTGTAAACAGTTTATCGATGTGTTAAATAAGTTCCTGCTTTGTGAGATCAAATATATAGGCTACATATATAAATATGATAAGTCATGACGATGGTTTTTAGAAGTACTTGGCAGGAATGATTTCCACACATAATACATCATTTTGATTTTTTTTAAATAAATGGACTAGAATTTTAACAATGGTAACAACAGCATAAAACTGTATAATCACATAAAAAATAACAATATAACAATAGAATATAATTGTAATTTATGTACGCTTCGATGGCATGTGTGTTCAGCATAAAATTATTTATTATATGTACAAAATGTATTTTAACAATATATAATTTTGGAAAATAATACTATTTATCATTTCAAAAATAATTTCTGGCCACTGTTTAATATCATCACAATAAAAAATATAAAAATTCACAGCATCTATCCATAATACTAATTGTGGGGTGTGATCGTTATAACAGGCAATATCTAGTTTTATACATGTTAGGCTCAAAGATTGAAAATGCTCAAAGAGCGATAAAACGACCAGGAGTTGTGGCTTTACACAAACAGCCACAAAAAAAATTATGTCCTGGCTGCTTATAGAGTCACAATATCTTCTGGTAATTTTTTCCTCTCATTAAGAGTTTTCGATCTTCAAGACATATTTGTTATGGTCAATGATGTGAGTGTATGAAATCATGTGAATGGCTGGACATTCATGATATTTACAAATTGTGTTTGGCAATGACCTAAACAGACGGCAGGGATGTCAATTACCACTCCAGCAGGCAATATTGGTAATGCATTAAGACAACATGCCCTAGAGCTGCTTTCAACTTAACTTGGCAGTTGTCAAAACAGAGTAAACAACTTTTCTCAAGTTGTAGATGAAGATAGGAAAAACTAAAATAATTAACCATTTATTGGTACCACCTTCTCTGTTTTGCATATCCTCCCCTTCAATTGGGAGAAAAATGGTTTGGTCTGTTTTGACAAGTACCAAGTTGGAAAGACTATAACCTTATTTTGGTTTTGTTACTTTATTAATATACAGTAGACTTTAGTTATTTATCACATAGGCCTATACCATCTTATCCAGGAGATAAGAAAAGTAATTTAGTCCCTACACTAGAGTTTATGCCCTATTTAGGCTTACATTCATTCTTATTTTTAAATGTTGTGATCCCCGAAAAGTATATTGTGAATGCCTATGTTATGTAAATAAATGATCCTTAATCAAAGATTTGCAATGCTCTAGAAAAAAAATGAACTACAAAAAATCTGCTACATTTATATTCAAAAATAACCAATGATTGACTATCATTCGTGTCAATGCCCGGTCATTGTCAACAATAATGGTTTGAAAAGACTATGATAGCTGGTGAGAGATATGAATGATTAAAGTGTTTGGACAATGACGTGAACATTTGGTCAAAGACATCATTGTCATGTTACTTTGGGCATTCACATAAATGAAAGAACATTCAAGTCATTTATGCATCTCACACCATTGACCATCACACATTAAAATACATTTCTTCACTACAATAAAATCACATTTACAACAATATGGTATATACTTGTATGTAAATTTAAAATATATGATGGCTTATTCAAAGTACATTTGTAGAAATTTGAAGTATTCATTAATATTTTCAAAATCTTCACATTAGAAGCCACAAGAAATGTTAAACTGTCATTTTAAAACTTACTTTAAAAAAATTTTGTAGAAATATTTTTCAGCAGTAATTACAAAATTATAGATTTAAAAATAATTCTTGCTTCACAATATTGAATATAGTCATTTATGTTCGTATTCAATCTTCAAATAAATAACATTATAATTCATTTTATTCGTCTTTTTCTTCTTCTTGTTCTTTAGCAAATTCCAGGAAAACCTGAAAATTGTAATAAATTTTTAAAAATATATTTTGGAATATAATGTTTATAATTAGAATTTTATTTAAAATTCAAAGTTTTCCAATAATTTATAGAGTATTACCACTTTTATAAAATTTATATTTAGTATAGCTTGAGTAAAAATTGTAATATCCCTGTTTTACTTGACTAAATTTTTTTTGAAATCTCAAACTACTTAAAGTTTTAATGAGTAAATAAAATAAAATAACTTAAATTTTTAAACAAAAGTGAAATTGTAGGAAATAATTTTGTCATTTTATTATTTATATTAATTAGGCAAACTCTAACCCTTCAGAAATATATGCTTTAATGAAGAGATGCTCAACAATTAAATGTTTTTATATACAGTAGCATAACTAAATATTAGAGAGAGCCCAAATTAGCACATGCAAACCTATATTTACCCCTGGTTCTATTGTAGATGGTAGCTGCTAGTACTAATGAGTTAACTCTTAGTCTAAGACTTTATTCCTATGTGTAAATGCATTTGTCACATTCAAATCTTTTCCTGTACTTATTTACAAAGAGTGCTTGGGCCCTTTGGTTACACTACTGTATACACAAAGACAAATTGAACATTTAGTGTAAACAGAATTAGAAAATAATCTCAAAATTGAAATATACACATACTTGTACTTTATTATTGTTTTTAGAAAACAGATAATTGAGATCATCTTTATAATAAGTATAATTAAATAATTTCTAAAATTATATATTCTGTATAAAGTATAAAGAAATGAAAATAAAAACATTAAATATGAAAATAATAAAAGTTGCATTACATTATATAAGATATTGTAATTAAAACTACATTTTTTGTTGGCCCCTACAACAATATAGTATTATATAATTCTAACTTTATTTCCAGGAACAGTTGCAATTTATGATATTGAACCTATACAATATTGGAATTAAATGCTTTGTATTTCACTAGAAATGCTAAATGATTTTAGCATTTCTAGTGGTGAAATACAAAGCTAAAGAAAATTAACTCAGAAACTAACAAAGACAGGCAAAATGACCAATTGCAAAAAGTAAAAGCACTATTTATTTAGTGCAAAACAATACTTGATTTAGCAAAAACACTTATAAGAAAGAACTAGCAGAAACCAATTTCTAACATTTGGCAACTGAGTTATTGGATGTGATGGTGTACAGAATTGCCAACATGGTCACCCAACTTAATACAATGGACTTCTTTTGGGGATACTTGAAAAATCAAGCATCTGCTACAGAACCTTCCACTATAGCAGATTTAAAGGAAGGCATTGTCAACACCTGTAATTCTGTAACCCCTTCAATGATGCATACTGTTTGAGATGAAATTCTGTCCCAAATTCAGAAGTGCATTGTTACTGATGGTGCACACTTTGAACATTGTACAAAAGACTACTGACAAGTTTGTTGTACCAGTGCTGCATGATCTTGCCTTATGTTTGTGTTGTTTTGTGTATAAATGTTTATGCACAAAACAACACAAACATAAGGCAGTTAGTGTTTTCTGGTCTTTCCTGTGTTTCTGCTGAATCAAGTATTGTTTCATACTAAATAAACAATACACTTTCATTTTGTAATTGGACTATTTTTGCCTATCTCTGTTAGCTTCCAAGTTAGTTTTCTTTAGTTCTGTATTTCGCCACTAGAGGCACTACAATGGACTGTGCAAAGTCACTTTCCTTAAGTGCCAATTACGTCCATGGTGTTATGACAGGTGGTTTAAAAGTTACAGAGGATGTACAGACTTTCCTTTGAACTCTATATAATATGGTCATAAACTTAAAACACATTAGAGAGGTTGCGGCCGACATTTTCAACGTGAAAACATGTATGTTGGACGTTCAGCGCCACCTTCCTGTAAGCCTAGAAGTTTGACAATGACGTTTGGAACGTCAAGCATGATTCCACTGACGTTCCAAATGCCATTGTCAAACGTCTAGGCTTACAGGAAGGCGACGCTGAACGTCTGACGTACACATTTTTGCATTGAAAACGTCGGCCGCAACCTCTCTATTTAATGAAGAAATTTCAGTTTTTTAACTTTGACAATTTCCAAATTGAGATTTATTCCCATTTTTACTCAACAAGACAATCAACTGATGGGTTATATTGTGGCCGTCGGCCATGATATTGTATATATATATATTTTTTTTCGAATTAATCCTATACTTCCTTCCTGTTTCTTTGTCTCTTCTAAGACCTTCTGACCTACCTCTTTTGCCCCTGGGGTAGGATTACTTTTTCTAAGAAAATAAGAACAAGAGAGAGAGTGGGACCATGGGAAAAGACCGGTCAGAAATTCAGCATTCTTGGGAGAGACCCCGAAGAGAGCAGATCGAGGAAGGAGTGCTCATGATCTGAACCGGCAAGAAGGAAAAAGACGATAAAGAAAAAAGAAAAGGGCCGTGAGGACAACGAAGAGTCCAAGGAACGAGAGAATTCTGCGATATCGAGAAGAGCAGAACAGACCTTGGGGAAAAAGACAGACAGAGAGGCGCCATACTTCGAACAGTGTATATACGTACCAAAAGAAATCCCGGGTATTTCTATTCTCCCTACCCTTTGTTTCCACATTCATCTGTCCTATGTTCTTATTGTTTTCATTAGTTATAAGTTAGATATAAGTTAGTTATATAAGTAATTATTTTTTGTTGTCACGTGTACGAACCCCACTAACAGTGGAGGACAAGCCTGTTCTTTTTTTTATGTATAAAAGAGGCATAAAGTTTGTTAAGTTGGGATTCCTAAAGTAAAGATTCTGTGTGATAATTGAATTTTGTATCTTTCTTGTGTTTGTAACTTTCCGTTCGCGGAATTGTATACCTGTCCTGTAACAAACAACCACAATATATTACAGAGACTGAAGATAAGAGACAGGTATTTTGATGTTGCTGAGAATTCAAAAACATAAAATTTCCCAAAATTTTTATTTTCGCAGCAGAGCATTTTATATATAACAGAGAGAAAGTGTGATGATAGATCAAAAAATGACCTCCCACAATTTTTACATCTTTGGACACAGGGAGATCTTGAAATGTCAAGAAATGCAAAAAAAATTTAGAGTTTCTTTTTTTATCTGTATGTATGTATGTATGTATGTATGTATGTATGTATGCATGTTTATGTGTGCGAGGCATGATTTTGTTCACCCTATTTGAAGTTTAATAACTCTTGTTCTAAGCCAGATGGCTGAAAAGTCAAAGTGGCAGCCTACCACTCTGGGGGGACTCAGGATCAAATCCAGACAGGTCAAAAAATTCCAAGGAATTTTTCGGAAGGTGGTCAATCCAGATATGTCAGGCCCCATCCCTCACCATCTGACCACCCCATTGTGGGTCTAGCTGAACCCTTAATGGGCTTGCTATGAGAGGCCCTCTTAGTGTCCACAGGCCAGAAAGGGTTAAAAAATAATCCTGTGCTTTTTTCAAAAATTTCTGAAATTTTGCAGGAAGGTTTGTATATTAAAAGATTGATTCTATTAAATTTAAAAAATTAAAAATTATCATCAGCCATTTTAATTAAAACTATTAAATTTTGGTGGTTAATGTTGACAGGGTGGGGAGATAAAGGGGAGGTCATGTGTCATATCTCGAGTAGGGTCAAATTTAATGACGATTTTCCTCATTATTAGCATTTACAATTTTTTTTATAAAAGCCATCTCTACTCTCAAAATTAAACTTTTTGTCATTTTATAATAATTAAAAATATAAAAATTTTTAATAGTAAAAAATCATAACAGATGTGCACTACATACTCAGTTTTAAATATTGCCAGGAAAGTTAAGTTAAGCAACTCATTGTTGGAGTTTTTATTCATGGATTGGAGTCTTCTAATGCTGGCTCTCCACTTAGCATAATTTTGAGATGATTCAATTACCTTTGTCACTGCTCATACACAGGAAAATCACCTTCCAGTTAGAATAATCTTCAAGTATTTTGATGACAGATGTTTGGAAATTCTACTGGTAAATCATGGTAGTGGTGACTGATATCATCGGTTATAGTTGGTTATTCTGGATGATTAGAGCATTTTCAAACATGCTTTTTTTTTCCACACTTTCAAACACATTACTTTGTGGTGTTCAACATGGCAGAAAGTCAAGAGGAGGTGATATTAATTCTGCCATTGCTGTTGCATATCAATTCAGAATCATATGACAAAGATTTGATGAGCTCATCAGAAAATGAAAATGAACTTGTTGAATTTTTTTTATGAGTATTGGAGAAAACTATATCTTCATTTAGTTTATACTGTAAAATCAATAATTTCACAGCATACACTAAATTTGCTGGCCAATGACCATGCTGTCCTGTCCCATCTGACATTTGGAACAACATGGCCTTCTGATCTTGGTCAATTTGTTCTAAAAACAAAATGTTGTTTTATTTCCTCTAAATTTTTAAAATCACAGCCACATTCTCTACAATGATGCAATGTGACTGCCATCTTGTAATTCAAGAGAACCACTTTAACTGTTTTGTCACTAGTTACTTCGAAAAATCATGGTGACATCATAACCATGATTTTTAAACACAGTTGGTTATTCAGGTTACATTTTCTAAATGCTCTGGTAATTATCAGCAGTTACAGATAACACCAGTTAGAATTTCCAAATGTGCCCTATAACAATGTATATTTTTGCATAATGATACTGTCACAGCCAATCAGCATGCAGCATCTATAATTCCAAGTGTACATGACATCATATTTTTACCCATCATCCTTAGCACTACATAAGGTGAAATGTGTAAATTTTGAAAAGGTACAAACAATAGCAAAAATTAGATTAAAAAAAAAATTAAACTGAAAAACATAAAACTTTAAAGTTGAAAATTTTGCTGCCATTTTAAAAAATTATGTTAATTCATTGCAAATCGCCTACCATTTTGTGTAAAGTTCATAGGCAAATAGGGCACTGATTGTGTCATTTGATGAATCATCAGGTGATGGTGACACAATCGTGCTAAATAGCAAGCCAGCATTAGTGTCAAATCTTCAGAAGCTAGCAAGCCTATCTCACATTCTCAGAAAAGGTATCTCAAATCCATGGGTACATGTACACAAGATTAAAAACAGTTGCTCTTCTGTATAAGATATTCTAATATTGATCTTCCTATTTTTATTATCTCAAATTTATAGTGTAAACCTTATTTTTGAATATCTTTCATTATCATTTTGTTGTAAGACTCATATTTTTATATAAAATTAAATCAAATATCAATGAACAATATTTATATTTATATAAGTATGTTCATAGTGTTTATAAAGAATAAGTACATAAGTATTAACAAACATTAAATACATACGATAAATACAAACTTTGTTATATTATTTGTACATATACTGTGTAGATAATATAAAAACTTACTTGTTCAAGTGTTGTTTGACTGAAGTTATACTCTTCAAAAAATTCTTTTGCTGAAAGTAAAATTTTACAAATTACAAGTGGTATATTTTAGAATAAAATTTAAGTTTCATTTTAAATTTTATCATTTATATTATCTAGTTATTAATATCTTATAATCAAACAAACATTTTAAAAACTATCGTTATTTTTGGCATGTTTTACTTAAAGAAAAAAAAAATATTTGGCAATTTTTTCTGTTAATTTTATTATTGAAAGAAAAAAACAATATTCAAATTTGGCTTATCATTACTTAAAATTATAATTTTAAGTAATGATAATTGAATAATTTGAATAATTTTATTTGAAGAAACTATTTTATGAATTAGTTTTTCAATTTCTTCAAGAAATTTGTAAGCTTTCTATACCAGAAAATTATATATTCTTTAATTTAGATAAAAATAAAACAAATATATCTTCTTATCGATTTATTGATATGATGTATCAGCCTCAATATTGTTCATTATGGGCATATTTTAACCTGAGGTATGAACAGCCAACAAAACTTTCCCATGATAAATATAAGACATCATTTATCCTCATCTCTATAGGTTTACAGTCTTTTATGTAAGACTGAAATATAAAAATTCATGTTTTCGTAGATAGTAAATGATTAGCTTATTCCATAGATTCACAGAGGTAATTCTGACTATTAATTCACAAGCTGAATATTTTTATTATGAAATTCAGTATATATACTAAAAACCAAAGTAAAATGTATTAAACGCATTTGAAAGTTATTTTGTTAACTGCAAATAAGTGCATAAATGTCTAGGCAATTGTCTGGGATTACCTGAGTGGAGTACAGTACAATTTATGTGGAATTTCATTTTACATAATACCTTCTGACTTAACTCCCACATAAAACAAGACTATACTGTTATTTTAAAAAGTAATTTAAAACTTAACTTTTACATTATAACAATAATAGATAATGAAAGATTTATAAGAATTAAAATATGTATAAATGATAGCCATTGATGACAATTGTAGAATTTTCATTACTCTGAATATAACATTACACTTCTAATAATTTTTGAAAAATCCATTTATATATTTAAATAATTTAATATCAGTTAACTTGAATAAAAACATCAAATGAAATGAGCAATTATTTATTATGGCATCATCATACCATACCAGGCTGCAATTTTTGCTATGTTGCTCTCCACCTCAAATTTGTAGTAGATTGCCCCTGTACATCATACTTTTCCTTAAACAATAGAGTTGTGCTAGTCATCAACCTAACATCTTTCAGGGGAAAATTTTGAAGTAAAAATTTAAAATTTGGCCGATGTATTTAATTTTTTAAAAAATATATAAAATATCACAAATATACATAAACCTTCTGAAATAAAATAACATGACTTATATAACCTATACATATTATTATATATAAATAATAATGTGTGTGTGTGTGTGTTACAAGAAACCTGTTGAAAATTATTGGGCTACAATCTGAAAAAATTATAGACCTATAAATTCCCACTGTTGTCCATCTGTCTGTCTGTCGTTCTTTAAACTCAAGAACAGAGTTAGGTAGCTGAAAGACAAGACCAGATATGGAGAGCTTAGAGGCAGGAGGTCCAGATTAACTATATATGAACTGGTTTGGACTGAAAGTCATATTATTTCTTTTGTTTGTTTGTTTTATTAAGTTACAGAACACAACACTTTGGTGATTTGCATAGAGAAAATGCCTTCTGGGAGGTCTTTTTATGGGTAACCAGCTTCTATTTAGGCATTATGGACATAGAGAAAACCCGGAAAACTGCACATGGCCAGCCCATCCTGGCATGACACAAACCCACACCAAACTCCCAGTGTTCAGGGAATGAAACAGCTTGGCTACATCATGTTATTTCAATTCAAAAATTTTCCCCTGAAAGAAGTTAGATAATGACCGGCAGGACTCTGTTGTTAACATGAAAAGTATGATGTACAGGGCAAGACACTACTAATTTGATGTGGAAAGAATATATTTTAAATTTAAAAATTTTTTAAATATTATTAAAAATTGCAGCCCAGCATTGTGATGATTTCACAATAACTACTCGTTAGTTATTACATTATATTAATGTAGGACCAATAACAAACAGATTAATTTCAAATCCTACAATATAAATAATATAATGACTAACGCTACATATAAATATTTAAATTTAGGATTTTTTGGATAATTGAAATATGCAAGTAAAATTTGTCAAAAAATTATATTAAATTATAACTATGCTAAATTATCATATTTCATTAATAATTAAAGATGTAATTACTGAAGAGTAATCACTTCTTTGAAAAAAATGTTTCTGAAAAATTAAATAAAATTGTATCATTAAAATAAATAAATTATTTAATTAGTGAAATTTATATATCTGTTTTTATTTTAACTTAAATTTTATTTTATAATTTAATTATATCTGATTATAAAAATGCAATAAAAATTATAAAGCTGAATGGCAATTATTGTTTAAAACATTTGAAATAAGATAAAATCTACTGTATATTAAAAATTTTTAATTGATTATTTTAGTTTTCACAAGTGTTTAAATCTGTATTCTGCATTTCCTATTCTATTTGGGAAATAATTTTAAATAACTTTCAAAATAAATTTTCATCTACAAATTTTACAATTGATGAATGCATTTAATGAGTGCATTTCTCAAACTTTCTGCACAAAATAAGTGCAATAATGCTTCTCTAAATTATTATCTGATAATCTTTAATTTTGCAACTACCAATTGGCTTACTTTATCAATAGTTAGTTTTAACAGAGTAAAAAAATATTCTGACTGACTATCATACTCATAAGAGGATAATGGAAGTGAAAAAATATCATCATTCAGAAACATTGTTTACTTCCAAATGCAAGTGTCTAAAGTTTGCTCTTTAATTGTCATTTATTATCTTTTTAAAATTAAACCATTACATAATCCATATAGTAATTTTAGTTGAAATAAAATTCATCATAATTAATTGCTAAATTTAACTGAATTTTACAAGAATACAAACTATTTATTCATACTTCATAGAAATAATGCAATGTTTTTTTTTAAAAGGATGTTAAGTAAAAATTTAAACTAGACTTTCACTTTCATTTTTAACTTAACAAAATAATCTTCATTCAGTTTGATCAAATGATTCAAACATGTCTCATTCATATAGCATTTTCATATTAAAACATAAACATACCTTTTTCAAGACAACCAAAAATGTTGGCCAGAGATGAATTACATTGTGGAATGCAATAAGTTAACCTTTCACAAAATTCTTCTTTAATAATGGATGAAGGAAAGTTTTTCTGAATAAATTCTTTCACATTATCTTTATTAACATATGAACCATCTTCATTCTTTTTAATTTTGATATCCAATGTATATCCAATTCCGTACTTGTTTTTCAAATGCTGAATTGAGCCCAAACATCTATAAATCATTTTTAAATAGTAGTTATTACATTGCTAAATATTATACTGCTAAATATTGTCATTAATTAAATAAAATTAGTTTGTTCATATACCTAAGGGTTCCTTTTACCATAATTCCCACTTCGGTGCATAAAGTATCGGCTTCTTCCATAGAATGAGTTGTGAATAGTATGCTGCGGTTTCCATTGGCAGGAAACATTGTTTGAATGATATCCCATAAATAACGTTTGGCTTGTGGATCCAGGCCAGTAGATGGCTCATCTAACAATACAGCTGTTGGTCTGCCAAGAATACTAATTATAAAGCAAACCTGAAATGAAAATTACTTTTTTACATCTCTCAAGAAAATTTTTGCCTATTTTAATATCTTAATATTTGTGTGAGAACCTGGACTTCAACCAAAAAAAACATGATTTCATTGTACATATTTTGATAACTGTCATTGATATTTGTCATCTAGTACCTGAGAACATCTCATTTTTCATGTTCTTAATGGCAAAAGTGATGCTTTTCCATGATCTTTTAACCTCCTGGCCATGTGCTACCAATTTTAACATAAGAACTGACAGCCCAATGAATCAGTTGTCGCCAGTGCCTTGAAGGGGTTAGTTAGTTTAGTGCCTCCTATATCACTTCTCCATCTAAAGATATTACCTACTCCTGTAAGGAACCAAGTCCGAGCATTATTTTTATTTACTTTTATTTTTGCTTTTTATTATATTTTTGTTTCAGGCTTATGCTTTGTTAGGATGAAGGTTTCCTCACCATTCACCTTAGAAACTTAAAAATAGAAGAGAAACCAACTCACCGATGAAAGAAAAGCACCATAGGAAAAACTCATGCACACTTGCGCTCCCGAGCGGAAAAAAGTAAGTCCGCACCGAGAAAAGGGGGAGACCCACAAGCATAACTTAGGACCTTGCTAAATCTTAAAGAATAAAAACATCCCAAAAATTGTCAAAAAGAATAATGTAAAAGGTCAGCAAGTATTGTCGGAAAATAGGCTGCCAGACAAACAGAAAAAGTTTATTGTTAGCAAATAAGTATGTAAATGAGGGGAGTGATTGCACTCAGAATTGTGATGTCACCTCACAGTATAAAGACCGAACCTCAAGTGAAGATGGTCAAGGTGAGCTTCTGTTAGCAACAAGCGTGGTGAGCTTCTGTTAGCAACAAGCGTGGTGAGCTTCGTAGCAGCAAAAGAGAGAGGTGTCCGATATGATAAAGTAGTTCCAAGACGATTTTGAAGTTATTCGATTTGTGGATCGAAGATTAGAGAAAGTCTTGAGAGTTGAGGAAAAGGTTCCTAGTATATTGAGGTGACAATTAAAATCTTTAATTCATAAGAATTATTGTATATAAGTTAAGTCTTTGAATTTTTGTCGAATTCCAAAGGGGAATAGAGTTAAGTTAGAAAATAGATTGATTTGAGTTTTGTTGGGTTGATTCTTATTGATTTACATTGAATAAATTGTTATTTGATTTTTACTAAATTTTGTATATAGTTATTATTAAAATTTTATTAAATATTGGATTGTTTTTGATTAAGATTAACTTTGTCATTATTTAATTCGGTGCATGCTTAAAGTCCAGGCCTGGCACACTAATGTGAATCTGTGTAAAGTACCCATTAGGGAACGGCTATTTCTGGCACACAGTCGTGTCGATAATTGTTGTAGAAAGTCGGAAAAATAATATAGTACTTTACACTCCTATACTGATCTCGTCTACTCTGATAATGGATATCACCTATTCCACGATGAGGATATCACCTATTCCCTGAATTGCCAATTCTCCAAACTGATCCTATTATCAACTTGTCTACATAACCCTACTACCAAAGATAACTCTCATAGTTGGAACAATTTGACAGAATGATCCATCAGGTATTTATCCCAACATGAATTAACATGTAAATGCTCTCTTTCACACACACCTATGGTATAGATCAGTTAATTCAATATATTATGATGTATGTATCATGTAACCTTTTTCTTTGCAATTAAACAGTTATTTTGTTGTTAAACCTAGTATTTGAGTGCTTTACTTCTGTCGTGCTGTCTCATAGTCCTCCATCTGGAATCTGATTATTTATGCACACAATCGCTCGCATGCAGTAACTAACAAAAATAAACCCCTGTCGTGGCTTATATGTCAACACAGTAGTGTCATCCTGACAAGGCAACCAAAGAGGTGCTAACCCTCCAGTCACATTACGTAACAGAATAAAATGTAAGATTAATAAATTTTAAATAAAATATGTATTATAAATTTGATTTGTATAATTAAATTTAAAAGTCTTATATATTTAGTTACCTTTCTTTTGGTTCCACCAGAAAGAGTTCTTATTTTCTTCTTAGCAAATTTTCCTATGTGAAGAAGATTCAACAACCTAGAAAAATAATTATATATTTAAAATAATTACAAATAACTGAAAAAAATTATCTTAGTCAAATATTATAAAAATTTTTGTGCAATATTATTTGATTTTCATATATTGTACTTTCTAATTTACATAAATAGCAACAACATTTGAACTGATTTGAACCTTCCATTTAAAAAAAAATTAAAACCTTAAATTAAACGAAAAAAGAAAAAAAGTTCAGATTTTGGTAATAAAGCTTTTAAACATAAAAATTATGGTAATAACTAATTTATTTGCTCAAATATTTTTGATATGTACAAAAATGTTTCATTGAATAAATATTTTCTGCCATGATTTCTATGTTTAAAACTTTTATCATCAAAGAATAAATGTTTCCTTTGTTTCACCTCAGTAATGAGTTTGCTAGTATTATTTCTTATTTCCTGAAAATGACCAGCAATAAATAACTTACACTTATAAACACATACATATGCAGAGAGAGAGAGAGAGAAATAAAATAATAATGATATTATTCTAGGTGATGATGGAAATGTTAGATGTTAATTGTAATTTTTTTTTTAACATTTGTTCAACAGATAAATCTTTCATATTAAATTAAATATATCTCTAAAAAAATTATATTAACTTGTTATTAGTTTTATTACTCTTTAAGAATGATATTTGCTCAGAAATTTTTAATGTAATATTAAAAATTAAATATGTTAGGCTATTTTGTTAGTATTGAAATCATTAAAAAATATGGCCAATTTTGTATTTGATGATTTTCGTTATAAGATTTTAACCTTTTATACGAAATGTTTGTCATTGTAAAGTATGGATGACTACCATTTTCAATTTTGAATAATTTTAAAGAAGCAAGCTTATAAAACAAAAAATATAATATTGTACTCTGTATGGCAAATATAAAAGATCTATGAAATATAGACTCAGATGTTCAGGACTTTCCAAAGTTTCATTTTAGTAAGTTAGATAAAAAGCAAATGTGAAATCCACAATTTTTACGCCGATGTTGGAAAAATCTTTGTAAACAACTCCAATGAAAAAAAAAACACTCTTGGTGAGAAGTATGTTGGAGGTCACCGATTGTTTCACACTTCGGTGGGAAAGTTGACACTTAACTGATCGGAATGCACAGTAAGTGTCAACAGAAGTCAATCACATGACTCATTTCCCACGCATAATGTATAATATACTTTTGTGCATCTCGTCGCCGGACCTCCATACAATGGACACGAATGGACGAAAGGAGAAGATATCGGTAGAAGACAAACCACTTGAACTTCCATATTTATCGCCAGACTACGATTCATACAGCACTCCATGAACGCAGATTAGACATATCCTCATAGAGGTATTTGTATTGTTTTAGAGCTTTGTGAACTCTCTCTCTCTCACTAGCCGTCAAAGCTGTTAGAGCGGCCCTTTTGTATAGTGAACTTATTTAATCACATTTAACCTATGTATCCTAGCTTAGTTATATAAATAAATGCATGTTTAGTTTATTAAACCTGTCTCTTAAAAACACCTGCCGACTTACGGATGCACTCCCCACTCACTTTTCCCTCCTAGCCATCCAATGACTCTGAGATCGAGTTTTATCAACCTGTTGCAGAGTAAGTGGTCATTTGGGGATTAACCCAGTGACCCACTGCCTGTCTCACACAAATGAATTCCTCTATAAAATTATACTAACACTATAAAGTAAAATTATACTCTACATTTATTATTTATGTTTATTAACAAGATATTAAAATTAACAGATTTTAATAATGGAATAATCCATTAATAAAAAAATAGATTTTACATCAAAGGTGAAATATTGTATTCATCTAAAAACATGTAAAAAGTAAATCATCCTATCAAGTATTATTTTTAAAGAAATAACAACAGAGATACAGAGTACAGTGATATTGATAAATAAAAAAAAATTAAAAACCTAGTGTAACAACTTGCTAATTCAGTAAAAGTCTGTTCTTATTACTGAATTAGCACATTAAAATTAAGTAAATAGAACTCAAAATACAGTATATATATTTTTACAATATACATACTTTTCACAAATAGAAGGTATCTGTGACTTTGGAACTCCTCTTATTGCAGCATATAAATGAAGGTGTTCTTCAACAGTTAATTTATTCCATAAAGCATCATGTTGTGGACAATATCCAATCTCTTGAAGAGCCTTAGATAGTTCATATGTAATGTCATAACCAGCCAGAGATATCTAAAGTTTCAAGTTCATTTAATTAGTTAAATATTTTTTTTAAATAAAATTTATTTTAGTTTTTAAACTTTAAAAAAATAATTATAATAAATTTATAATCATACTTCTCCGCATGTAGGCATTACTTCAGCAGTAATCATTTTAATGACAGTCGTTTTTCCAGCACCATTAGGCCCAAGAAGTCCAAAAATGCTACCAGTATCTACAGCTAAATTTAAATTTCTCACAGCTACTTTACTAAAAGTATCTTTCAAAGATATTTTTTTTGTATATACTTTACGTAATTGCTTAATAACAATAGCAAAATCCTATCAAATAAAAATAATAATTACATATTTAAAAATATTTTTAAAATCTTTTAATCAAATTATAACTCACTTTAGTATCAATTATACTTTGCACTCTTTCTCTTTCATTTTTCACGTCATCATCTTCCTCTTCAGGAAAATCTGAATTACTTTTAATATTCTCAGATTTTTTACGACTAAAACTAAACATATGAGAAATATTTCTTCCCGCTTTAATATTATCCACAATTTTCAACAATAATAAATATAATATAAATTGAATTGCCATCTATAAAGAAATTAATTTTATTTAAATTATTAAAAAATTTAATTTCAGAAATTTAGTAAATAATTGAAAAATAAAAAGCTGATTTTCACACTAAGCTATTTGTTAAACTTATTAATTTAAAAAATAAAAAATTATTTTATATAAAACACTCTAATAATTATCTTTATTTCTATATACATTTTTTTTAAGTTTGAATTTTTTTAATACAAAATCTTCAAATTAAATGATAATTATGTGAATTTTAAAAAATATGTAAAAAATACTTAAAATTAACAATTGAAATAAAAAAATATAAACTAGTCAACAAAAAAAAATTAATTTTTAAAATGTTTCACAGTTGAGATTTAATCAACTGCATTTAAAATTTGAATTTTGAATATTACGTCAGATCATTTAACAATTAATATCTATTTCTTCAAAATTTATTATTAATAGATTAAGAAAATAGAAAAATAACTGGTATCACATATATTTCTCTCAAAACATTATAAATTTATATGAAATTAGCCACTTCATATTAAAATTAAGTATTGGTTGCCAATTTAATAAATTTAAATGTTATTGAAAATGACAAGTTATTTAATTTGGTTCATCATAAATCTATTTGAATAAAATCTCTTGTTTTTTGTACAATTAATGAAACAATAGCATCAACAAATGCAATGTTTATAGTATAACATTGCACATTATTATACACAAAGCATCTATTTATTAACAGCTATGCTAGTCACTTATTGTTAAGATGTAAAATGCTTAAAACATCATCTGAACATGCTTAGTTCATTACTTATAAATAAATGTTTTATTGTGTTTTAGTTACATTTTATAAAATTGTTGAGATTTTCAGACTGATGCTGTAACTCATTATAATTTTTCTCCGTGGTTAAGAATAATTTTTTAAATTTACATTGTAAAAGTTATTTGTAATTGATTTTGTTTTATACATACAGTTGAACTTGATTATAATGAACACGGAAAAAATGAGTTCACAGTTATAATGAACAAAACACCACAACAATTTTAATTTATGTATATTTCCACACATTTTCTCATAGTTATGAGGTACTTCACAGATCTCCTGAGAAAATTTTCAGTAGCCATACAAACACAATGAACATTCTTAATTGTTCAAGTAGTAAGAAACATGATACCAAATTCTTAGAACAGATAAAACTGAAAGTGTTACTTAGTTTTATGACCACTGGATAATCACTTTTATGACCTGCATAGATTAAAAGCCTATTTATCACTTAACTTTCTTTTTTGGAGACTATACTCCTCTTTATTGACTAACTTCTGGCCCTACTCTGCCAATTTACCTAATAATCACTATGATTGTAAAATTACCACATACTCTAGTTAGAAACAAACCTTATGTGAGAAAGAAGTCTATGAAGAAAAGAAAATTTTTTTGGTGTACAGAAAAGTACAAATTATTCATGAATTAGAAAATGGTGCTAAAAACGTTGAAGTGTGTAGAAAGTTTTCTTTGTTGTCTTTGAAAGGATCGACATTATAGAAAAATAAAGCAATCGTTAGTTTTAAGATTCGTAGATAGCTGAAATTGGGTGTATTATTAATTAGTATTATCTTTAATCATGAAGAAGTAAATTGCCTAATATTAATTATATTGTAGTTTATATAACTATTAATAAAAACACAGTATAATGTAATTACACATATATGTGTACAGTGGTGCCTCGTATAACGTACAGCTCAAATAACGGATGCTGCAAACAATGGACTTTCCATTTGGCAGTTATGTGAGGCGAACAACGGACTTTCCGCAAACAAGTGCAAATGATGTTTCCATTCTTTTCCTGTTGACAATCTGCTATTTTTATAATATATTACTATTATTAGAATATATTATTAGTATATCTGAAGTATAGAGCTCCTGTTGGGATTCAGCTTGCTCCCTTGTTTATTATGTACAGTACATCAACTCAGTGCAGGGTATTTAGATCTATTCAAGTGTTGTGCAAATCATGGCTTCTAAAAAAACAGAAAGGTGATTTCAATTGAAACAAAGCAAGACATCATCAGAAGGAGTGAAAGTTGGCAAAAACTTCCTTGTCAAATGGGAGAGGTTAAGGAGTTTATCAACACTCATTATCCAAACAGAGTTGAGGCCAACAGGATCAATGATCTCTACAATGACACCCTTGCCCGTCATTTCCGACAGGCGTTGAAGAAGAGAGAGAAACAGACCACTCTGGACATGTTTTTCAAGAAGCCAGCTACCAAAAATCAAAGGATGGAACAAGAGGAGTTGATCCTGCAAGCTCCCATAGCTCTCCAGAATCTGACTCCGATTAAAAATCAATAAAAAGAGACCTGCTGCAATGTGTAAAAAGTGTGTCTGTATGAATGTGTGAAGAAAGTGTTCCTCCACCTCCTCCTCACAACATCTGACTACCAGGCATAATTGGTGACTGCTCACTTTTCATTTTTTTATGGTACAGTATGGTTATTTTATGCTGCGGAACAAATTATATGTTTTAACATGTATTTTTATGGGAAAATGCGTTTCGTATAACGGACTTTTCACTTAATGGACATGCACCTGGAACGGATTAAGTATGTTATATGAGGCACCACTGTATTTTATTATTATTATTATTATTTTCTGAATCAAGTTATTTAGAATTAAAAATTAAAAGATAAATTTCACTAATTATCGGTGACATAGCTATAATTTTTGCCACTGCGGGGCACTCCCTACATGTTTGTGCCAAAGGCAGCCGCCATTCATCCCCTAGTTATGTCACTGTTCTTCATGGATATAATGAATAACACTTATAATGAGAAAATCTTGTCATCCCCTAATGCTCATTATAACCAAGTTCAACTGAATTGCTTGAGTCCTTGAAATACAAATGTTTATTTGGATGTCAGCAACATTTCTATTATGTTACACGAAAATCTTACTTTTATCTGAGGGTTACTTTTCTATTTCCTATTTAAAAAAATGTTTTATATAAATTGATAATGACAAACAATACTCACTACTAGATAGAGAACAGAAACATTATATTTCCAGCTGAATGCAGAACTAAATTTATCTTCATTTGGCATTCTTAATGCCACAAATTTTTGTTCTATATTTGCCTAAAACAAAATCATGATATTTTTAAATGCTGTTCTACAAACATATTATTATAATTAATTTTTGTTTAAATAATTAGTTCCCTGAATTAAAATTGATTTTTCTCATTAGAATTTTAATTAATAAAAAACATTTTATTGGTGTAATCATCAAAACAATCTCATTTTATTCTAGCATTTTCAGACTGATAAAGCACCACTACAATATTGTTCAGAGAACTGTTTTGTGATGTATATATTCTTGAAGATGGGATTTCATCAGTCCAAAAGTTGCTTGTGAAAGTGAGCTTATTTAAGGTACTTCAATAAAGTAAATTTCTCATAAATTTCCAAAAGTTAAAGTGTTTTCTTGATTTTACATAAAACAACGTCAATTATAAAAAAATTAATAAAATGTTTTTACATTATCAGAATCTTAATGTAATTTTAGCTTGATACAATAATTATTGACCAAAGAAAATGCTTTTAGTTATTATAAAATACAATTTAAATTAAATCAATCATTCTTGTTTTTGATGATAAAATTAACAACTTTCAACTATATTAAAGCTAAAAGAAAATGTAAAATGTTTCTAGAAGTTATTTTTTTATTACAAGAATTACTTCATTAAGTTGTAGAGAAAATACAATTAATTAACAAAATAAAAATAATGATAAAATAAATAATATAATATAAAAAATAACACAAGCCTACAAAAAAAAAATTTTTTTTTGGTGCCTAGGATTTTAGAACTGATTTTAGCTATATTTGGGTCACTGAATCCAAATATAAAATCAGTTTTTCTCTATCAGCTCTACTTTTTTAGATCTGTGTTTTTTTAACGTACAGTGCTACATGAAATGTGCAGCTCAATTCCAGTTTGTACAGTTCTAAATCATATATGCAAGAGTTGATTCCTGTATATTTTCCCCATTGTTAGTCTGCCATCCAGTTAGTTCCAGGTAAATCCACCAAATGAAGTAAGCATTCGGTAATGAATTGACGTTCAATGCTTCAACTAGAGTTGAGGTAAGTTTGTAGCCGTGCAGTGTCTAGATCAGTGTTTCCCAACCTTTTTTGTGCTATGCCCCACCTAAGCCTTTCTAAAATTCTTATGCCTCAGTTAAGTATAGAAAAAATTAAAGCAGGAATATTTGACGGCCCACAAATAAGACAACTCATTAACGATCTTGNATTCTAATATAATGACAGGTATTAACAGAACAGTAGCAGGCTAGAAAAAAGAAATTTAATTCTTAATTCATTAATAATTTTATAAATATAACTACTTCAAGATAATTATTTTTTTAATACTTAATTTATTCTATCAAGTTGTAAAAGTGAAATTTAGGCATTTTGAAAAAAACTATGTTGTCAATTAACTCAACAGCCTGGTAGGTAATAACCATCAACATCAGTCACATTTTACCATCTTTGCTAGAAACTTTCAATCCCATGAACATAAAATGATGAAAATCTCAAATTTCAGATATCATCATTGAGCTATAATACAATATGGTTCTACAGGGCACAAAATAGATGATAGTCAGTTGGCACCAACTCTGGGCTATAAGGTGGATGAGACAGAACCTCCCAGCCAAGTAGCAACTTCTCTAAGGTCATTTTTCATTCTGTGCACCAGTGTATTGTACATTATCAGACTGTCAATTTTTGGACAAAGTTCTTTGATCTTGGTGTTCAAATGATCCAGTTGTCCACAATAGAATTCTTCTGTGTCAATGATGTTAGTTGAAAGCAGCTCCATTATGATAACACCAATCAAGTGCAGATCTTTGAAATGTCAAAGAGCCAATAGTGCCTTTTGCACTATTGGCTCTTTGACATTTGCAACAGCTGATTGACCTTTGCTCACCCATGAACACTTTAACAAATGCTTTGCAGATGAAACTGTGAGCTTTCATTGTGTTGTAGCCACTTTTGAAGTGATAGAACAGCAGCATGCAAATGTGTTCTTTCGAAAGTTTCATATTGTCAGACATTGATGATGCATCTATTTCTAATGAATTATATGAAAAAACATCCTTTGATAATGCTACTCATCTACTCAAATTGATTGTTCTAGAACATTTGTCCAGTCATTTCTAGAAAAAATTGAAATGTCTAAATTTTACCTTTATAACCTGATGTATATATAAAATACTTAGCATAAAATTTGTCATAAACATTTTTTTATCATGAAAAAATAACAGTACCACTGGGAATCAATAAATCATTATAAAATTTTTGTTATGGATAGTCTATATTGAGAACAAATAAGTGAAGCCTGTGGAGCACCCCATGAGGATTGAGCAAAGGAAATAAAATGGGCAGGGAGCAAAGCTCTCCTAGTACATAAATACCTTAAATATTTAAAAAAAAACTATATATCTATACACTTTAATGTACAGTATGGTATTGTTATATGTGGATATTACATGATAACAAATACTGCTTGAATTCCATATGAATTTGTACTTCACCCCAAGTTGTCTCAGATGATAGCTTATACACTTATGCAACCATTTACAATTAACAGAAAAACAGTAAAGTGTATTTAAAATTTTAATTGTTTTTTTACTATAATAAATAACATTTCAGTCTGATATTTATGAATATATAGAAGCACTATTTTATAAAAATTCATGCAAGTCAGGATATTTACCACAATAAGCAGTATTCAATATTTCTCCATGTTTCAAATTTCAGAAGTCAAAGAAGCACAGTTTGATTACTTAGAAGTCAGATTCAGTGACATTATGAGTGTTGTGTTAATGTGAATATCTTGTGGAGAAAGCTGCTGCTGCTTTCATTTTAATTATCTATGCATAACTGTGTATGGTGTTAAAATATTGTTGTCTTTCCATAAATTTCATCGAACAAATCAGATTGTTGTTTTGTTCATAAAAGAAGTGTGCAATGCATTTAGCATTATGCATTGCCTATGCAAATTTTTCAGGTTTAGTTTCTTTTCTTGAAGTTGTTCTTCCTGAACTTCGTCCTATCCTTAGAATTTGAATGATAAGGTCATCATTAGTTAATATTTGTTATATGCCCATCAATTAAGTCCTCAATGTTCATCTCCTTAAGTCTTCAAATCCCACACCACCAATTCTCTTGGCAATTCCTTCATTTCTGTTTTTTTATGCCTAACTCCATCAGAAGATGCATTTCTTTTCAAACTCATGGTGTTCACTAAAGTATGTTATTATGCCTATTGCATGCACAAGAAGCTAAACTAAAAAAATAAAACATATTATTCTGTTATTGTAGTTTTGTTTTGCTATATATTGTTACACAATTTGCATTCTGTACTGTACATTAGGCATTCCCAAGCAATTTGACTGTCAATCCCCTACAAAGATTTCTCAATAAAAGATTGATGAATGCTTGCATATATCAGTCAAAGTTTTCCCTTCTTCTAAAAGAAATAAAAAGTGTCCTCTTCTTTATCTGCAAATATAGTTAATAATAATAATAAAAAGTCTGATGAGCCAGCACATACCATTTTCATAGAAAAGATCTACTTAGTGTGCAAATTTATATCATCCTGAACTGTTATGTACTGTACATAACCCATTAAACTAATAATTTTTAATGACCTATTTTCAATTAATCTCCAACTAATTTTTACCCCTGAAAATGCTTTATTGATTCCTGCTGTAATCACACAACTTTTTTCTGCTTTTTTTCATGCATTAGAATCTTCTATTTTCATTTCATCTTGATAATTTTTTTCTCCAAAGATAGGCTGTATAAAACTGCTTCTATATTTTATATCAATATTTTTGCTTCAGAATGAATTTCATAATAAAACTGTCATTGCATGTATTAATCTAATCATTCACCATCTGTGAAAACACAAATCTGCACATATCAATCCCATATAAAAGAAGATCCTACTGTATATCCTAATTTCATCTGTGATTACATTACTGTGATGTGTGATTACATAAAATTTTACTGTTTATGCTGGCATATAAGTTGTCTTTTTACACTTGAAAAACACTCCATAACTAGAGGTTGACTTTCAGAGTGGTAGCAAGTAGAACAGTGTTCTTCAAACATATGTTTAATAAAATAATAAAATTTAACATAAATGAACACTAACCAAATTGTTTCTAAAAGCTAATGTTTCAACTAAACATCATTCATGCAGATAGTAGAGCGTAAGAAAAATATTTTATAATAGTCTACTGTCGTACACCATAAACAATGGTATTATCTTGGTATTATACTACGTAAAATATTAATATTTTATTGATATTTATTTACTCACGTTTACTGATAGTCCTCATTTACAAAATAGTTTTGACCTTATTATACACTTTCACTAAAAATTACCATTTACCAATCAACATTTTAGTTCAGATCTATTGATATGCTACTGCATGTTTGGGGGTCCACTTATACAGCAATATGTCTAAGTCAAAGCTGAAAATCTTGAGGTCAACTTAAAGGTGTACATTTCATATTTTAATCATCTATATTTAATTAATAATTATTTTTTGAAAAGAAGGAGAATTGTTTTCATTTCAAAATAAAAATCAACTTCATATTCAAATTTCTCCTTTTGGTCTTCTGTTATATTGTTTATATTTAACTTCTGTTTAATCATCCATTGCACTAATCTATAGACGAATTTAAATCAGTTGACAAGAACTGTATTGTTAAAAAAGCAAATATTTATTGTGACATTGTCACAATGCCAGGCTGCAATTTTTAATCATATTTTTAATTTATTTAATTTAAAATATATTCTCTCCCCCTCTCCTGTTAGCAATAGAGTCATGCTAGTCATCTATCTAACTCCTTTCAGGGGAAATTTTTGAATTGAAATAATGTAATGTCCAGTCTAGACCGTAAGTTCTTATATAGTTAATCTGGGCCTCCTGTCCCTAAGCCTTCCATATTTGATCTTGGCTTTCATCTACCTAACTGCATTCTCAAGATTAAGGAAGAATGGACAAATGGTGACAGTGGGAATTTATAGGTCTACAATTTTTTTCAAATTGCAGCCCAAAAATAAATCAATTAAATGTATATTTTTACTATTGTTTAATATAAAGTGTTACTAATCTTAATGAGATAATAAAGTTTACTTTCCTATGATATGTAAGCAAAGGATTCATCAAATTCTATGCTTCTTAGAAAATATGTTATGATGGCACAATGAAATAACTGCTTTTCGATTTATTTTATTATTTATTCTTGTGATGTTATTTAACTTTTTATTAACAGTATTAATATTAGAAATAAATAAATTCTCAACAATAATTTGTGAATTACTCCAAAATATCCAAGAAATTAACCTTTTCATTTAATTCAGACATCACTTTGATATCATAAGTCTATAATATCCTATACAAAGTTTTATTATAGAAATTTGTTAGTTATTTGTATGTGTTCATTATATAATTTTGTCTCTTAAAATATATTACTAAATATTCTTAGAATTCTGTAGTAAAAAAAATATGAATTTCATTTTAAATGATTTTTGTAAAAATTGTCAGCATGATAATAGAATATTTTGATAAAAATGCTTATATTAGATATAACAAACTACTTAGGATTATATACAATTTGAATTTAATTTCAGTTTGATTAACTTCTAATCAAATTTTTTAAACCATTAAAAGTTATTGCTGATTGCAAAAATATCATATATATCCAATTCTCTTCTTACATGGATTTTATACATGATTCTGAAATATGATCTAGAAAAAAAATTCAATTTTCTTTTTGTATGATTTGTTTTGATGTACAGTAGAACCTCGATTATCCGCCCTAATTGGGGACTGGGGTTGGTCGGATAATTGAAAAGTCAGATAACCGAAAAGTATGAAAAAATCCATTATTAGTGTAGTATATTATTATATCCCATGTAATTAGTATNATATTCATCTGTTACTTCCATTTTAACGAAAATAAACAACTGAAATGCTCCCAATTCTGAACAGTATTATATGAATGAGATCCAATTTAACACTTCAGTGTAAAAAGTATCACATTAGACTGGCATTTTTAACAGCAAAACAAGATTTTTCTCAAGGTCATAAAATATGCATAAACTTATGGACTGATCTGATATTACACAAAATAGTGGACCAGTAATTTTCAAATATGTATAATAGCAAGTACTCTCAATAAACTAAAAATTTTAATTTTAATACAGTGGCATGTTCATTTAATTTAAATTTGCTCTGAGAAAGATATCTTTAATTGTATTAAAGAAATTTAAGACAATGTATTCATATGTGTAATTTATAACATTGTTGATTCTGTGGAGGTAAATATTTTTCTCTCTGGCATTTTCGATTAACAATTATCTGATATATATGAGGAGTGACAAAGAAAATTGAATAAGTCTGATTGCTGTAAATACTTTGTTACTAAATTGTGTTGAAATATTGATGTTATTTATCTATCTATGACAATTAAAAATTGATATTAATAAATATTCCATTAAAAATTCAGTTGCAAACATTATAACAAACTGTTAATGATGGCCAATCAGACAATTTTCTTCATAATGAATGAATACGCAGACATACAATTATATCTCTAACAATATCACAGAGTTTTATTATTATTTATACCAGTAATTTTCACAAACATGGTTATTCTTATTGATATAATTTTATAATTTAAAAATATAAGATGATCTTAATTCATCTGAGGAAATTATAGAAAATAAAAATGTACCTTGGTAAATGTATCAAATTATTCATCAATTAAAAAAAATAGTTTGACCACTAAATAATTATTTCTTTTGCTGTTCAATAAGTTAAAATTTGTAAATAACTTTGAAAAATAGTAATAAGAAGTTAATGTTTTTAGATTGTATTAAAAATTTTTATTACCTAACTAAGTTAAAATTTGTAATATTTATACTTACCAAAAAACAAAATAAATTCAGCACACCTTTAGCTGTTTCTTGTCTATCAAACATATAACACAAATTATAACAAAATAACAATGATGTTGGTATAAAAAAAATAAACAAAAGTAGAAAGGCAAATATAAAATCAGCTCTTTGTAAAAATTCGAGTTTTATAATCACTAAACTTATTACAAGAATTAACACAGATAATAAAAAAAGCATAATATGACTAAGCAGAACACAGCCCCAATATGTAAAAAATTTCAATCCGGATACTTCAAGTTGATTCTTTACTTTATTCTGTAAATAAAAATGAGTAAATTGTTAATTTATATTGTAAAATAGTCCTTAAGAAAATAAAATAATGTTACCTCTCTATCTTCAACAACTTCCACTGCAATCATAGGTGACAGTATTATCATACATATGCCAATTACAAAAACCCAAGATAAGCTTTGACCATCAATTTGAACGTCATCTTCTTTTAGAAAAGGATGAGAAATAACAGATATTGATTTAGCAAGTCCATAATTTTTTATCATCATGTTAGATATGATATTCTGAAGTATTGGAAGAGAATGTATGCAAGTATCATTAATTAAGTAATTCCATTTCTGGAAATAAATAAATATCAAAACTTTTAAATATCACTTTAAAATAATACTAATAAATAATTCTTAGAAAAATTTAAATATTTACAAATTCTGGTAAAAATTTCTTCACAACTATTGCCATACAACTGGTTGCAAGATTTGTAATATTAGGATTTTCATGTAGTAATCTTACATTGATATGTTGTTCATCAAGAGCTCTGTTCATACTTTCTAATAATTTACCTGGAGGAAATTAATTATATTTTAATACCAAATATGAAAATAATTAAAAATNTCATTAATTCTAAATATTATATAGATATGGTTTTAAAACCATCATTTGATTACCATGTTCCAGTGCTTTATCTGGAGAGCAGAATAAGGTACAGTTGACCCTCCTACAACGCGGGTTCATATAATGCGGTTTCGTATATCGCGGCAAAATAATTGCAACCGTATTCATATAAAGACACTAAAAGAAACTCGTAAAATGCGGTAAAATGTCATCGCCAACTCGTGTCGCGACAGGATTGGTCGAATCTGGACCAATAGTGGATGAGCAGCTGAACTACTTACACGCTACGGAGAGTTTAGGCAGGTAAGTTGAGTTTACTATCATCTGTACAGTATATAAATTAAATACTGTAAGTCTAATACAGTACTGTAATTTTATACATTTCTTGTGAAAAAAACATTTCTTATTCAATGGCCATAAAAATTATTTCTATTAATGATGTCTCCAAAATTCAACGAATTTTTCGCAGAAAAATAACTTATCAGAAAACGCGCCTGCCATTTGGTGCGCTGCTCCGCAACGGAAACAAGCTTAAGCAATGGTGTCATCAAATGGTGCACACTCGGTAAGTAATCCTACAATTTTTTGTTTATAGCATAGTTTATACGGATTATTCCCAAAAAATTATATGTATGTTGGAAATGTTGAGTCAAATTAGTCTAGAATCGATTAATTTTATGGAAGAAAACCTTTCAAACAGCTGTAGTCCGTAAAACGTAAACTGCACACGTGCCGGGCTGTGATTGGCTCATGTATTTAAGGATTCCTACAATGTGAAATTCTTATAAAGTGGAATGTATCTACCGCATTGTACTGGTCAACTGTATTTATCCACCATGATGCAGTAACATTGCACACTTCAAAAAAAGATACACAATACATGCTGTAGCTGATTTGAAGATCAGAATCAGAATAACAGTGATTTCCAACTTTGTTATTTCTTTAAACAGCCCAGACATATATTTGGATTTGGTTATCTTAAGCAGAAGGTAAAACAAAGGAGGGCAACAACAATTAAAGAAGTATGCAAAATCCTGTAATAATAGTAAAACAGTACAACCATCATAGAATCATGCAAAGTATTCAAATCCTAGAAAAGAAGACTTAGGGCTGTTAAGCAGATGAGAAAATACTGTACTGAACATATTAAGATAAATCATAAAAGAGAATTGTAACTGTATGAATTTAATAAAAGTGTCCAAATTATACCGGAATAACTTTCTACATGATTACATAAATGTAAGAAAGTCCCTTTAATCCTAACTGTCCTATCTCCTATAATTTATCCTATAGCAGGGTTTGGCAACCTTTCAGCAGTGTTGTGTCGAACCTAAGTTATAGTTTCATTCTGAGTGCCAATATGATTCTACCAATTTTGTTATATATATTATCAAAATTGGTCCGGTTATAATGGACTTCATAAATATATAATTTTGAAGTCAGTTATTAATTGAATTATATTCTTACATTTGAGGCACATGTACAACACATAGATGGTAACAGAATATAAATGCATGCATCAGTGCACCACTGAAAATTGTCCTGCATGTCATAGATTGCCAACCTGTCCTATAGCAAAGCTGTACACAAATTCAACAATATCTGCATTGAACTATCAAAAAATGTATATTTTAAACATCTACAATATAAAATTTAAACAATATATAATTTCATATTAATGAGAGAAATAAACTTATCTATTTAAAGATTATTTGATACAATTCTTATGCCCATGCAATAACTTAGATTTCAAAAGAATCTCAGATCACAGATTAATGAATTAATCCACTAAAAACATCATGAAATGCTCTTATAAGTATATCATCAATAATAAACACAAACTTGTTAAATTATAATAAAATAATGGCAATCACTGACAGATCTGACAGATACTGTCAAGATTATAAGATTTACTCTATAAGTTTGAATATAAACTTTTTATATTCAAACTTTTATATTAATTCTATCTATATTAATATATAAAACAAGAATGTTTGTTTTTTGGAAGTAATCTTGGAATCTACTAAACCAATTTTTAAAATTCTTTCACTATTGGAAAGTTTATTCCTTCCAGATGAACATAGGCTACATACTATTTTCATATTAAAAAAGGAAAATGCATGAGAAAGATGTTTTTAATGCAGCATTTCTATCACATTGTCATATCATTATTCATCTGCATAAATCCCCTTTGCCACCTGGTGACCTTTTCTAACTTATTATCTTATGTATTCAGTTTCGGTTTTGATTCATGCAGTTCAGGTAGTTACGTATATGCTTTGTTTATATTGTCTTGGTCATTTTTCTTATAATAATACTCTTATGTTATCAGATACAACTATAAGGAGCAAATTTACTTCCCTTCAATGAAATTAAACTTTTGTATGTAGACCTACCTATTCATGTTTTTTTCCAGATGCTCACTGATGTTTAAAAACAAAACTATTTTATCTGGATTGTTTGAATGTTTCTTGTGTATTGTCAACAGTAAAGATGAATAGTAATAGAAAAAAGAAAAGCTTTCTGTTGCATTTCATATTGCAATTTCAAAGCCTTATGGGAGCCCAATGTAAGTTTTCATCTATTCCCACATGAAAAATAAATGATTATTCAGAAATTAGAATTCAGAAAAGCTCATAAATATAACCAACAGAAAGAGTAGATTCGACTGTTAAGAATTAGCAACAAAAGCTTCCCAATTGTTCAGCTTTATGTGAACAAGTTATGCTGTCAATTTTAAAAAATTTTTCCTTAAAGTTTAAAATTCCAGTAATTTTGTGTGTGACACAGCCAGATTTAGGCATTTCGAGGCCCTAAGCTGAACTCAGCGCGAGGCCCTTACCAACCCTTCACAATTTTAGAAATCAATCATAAAAAGAAAATAATTAATGTAAACATATTAATTAAATACTACACAAAATAAAAAGTATATTTTGTTGTTTGTAAAAAAATATTACAAAATTTGACTTCAAGTTTCTTTTTGTAGAAATTTTTGAAGCCCCTTGGAACTCAAGGTCATAAGCAACAGCTTACATACTTACTTGTAAATATGGCCCTCATGGAACAGGCAGTGCCGTAACTGGGCAGGTGCAACAGGTGCACCCACACAGGGCCCAATTAGAAGGAGGGCCCAAAATGCATGTATTTGTTTTATTTTTCCAAATCTAATTAATGGGCCTAAATGCAAATTCTTGCACATTGCACAGGAATGGCTAGTTACAGCACTGGGGACAAGTGTCAAAGCTGATGTCTTTTAACACAAAAAGCACAAATATGTATGGAAGGATCTCACTCATTTGTTTCGATAATACCACATATAATGATGTGTCTAGCTAGCAATAATTGTTCTATAAAATTTATTGAAAAACAGCTATTGAATACAAGCAGCATATATCATTATATTGGACAGTAATATAAGATTAATTTTACATTGACTAGTTACAAGCAACCCAGATAAAGTAGCCATTTTGTAAAAATGCAGCATCCTCTATAGTTCATGAAAAACAGAAATAGTACTTTTTGTGTGTTTATTGTTTTAGTATTAGGCCTAATCCTACCACATCATTATTTAAAAATAAGAATTTATCTTATATTATGAGATATCTATCAACAGAAATCGAGTTCTTTCAGTTACTTTTCAGATGTACACATGTATAAGTGAGCCTTATCATTGATAAAATACCTAAAAGAAAGTAACAACTGTTACAAAATAAATTGGTGTCAAGGATCCCTCACACCTTCCTACTGATATCATCTCACCTAGAAATCCCAAATCCTTTGACCAATCTGGACCAAATTTTGCAAAATTACCTCTGGTACTCTACAGGAAACATGAATTACCATAAAACTCCTTCTCTCTGATTTAATCCCTTACCCCAAACTCCCAAATCTTTTTAGCAATCTGGACAAATTTTGCATAGTGTGAGGGCCAGGATTTAAGAGGGCCGAGACTCGAATAGTTATATTCATTTTGTTCATTCATTTACCGTTTTGTTTCCAAATCAAACCGATTTTTTTAAAGTTAGGGTTAACACAAAAAGGGAAAAACAACCGACAAATTTTCTCATAAAAATCGCTCATAAAAACTCCGTTCCCACGACAATACTTCCCTGTAGAAGATGAGTTNGTATATAGTGAATATAATTAACATTTTATAATGCTTGATTAATCTGTATTAGTAAAAAGTTAAAATTCTAACACAAAATAAAATAAACTTACCAGTTTCATTTTGATATAAGAAAGTACTATTATATAATGAAGCAGTTAAATTCAATGGTTCAGGAACAGAAATTGCACTCTTTCTCATAATAAAATATGAAACTATTGTCAAAATAACTGGCGTAAGAAATATTGCAATAGCAGCTTCAATTTCACGAAAAAATAATATAATCCTTATTTTCAAGCAGGCAAAAAATGCTTGAAAAGATGAAGGATTTGGTCTTACATCAGTTAAAGGATTAAACATTGAATCTGTTATTAATGATGAATTATTTGCTGTTTCTTCAATTAATGTATTATCATTGTCATCATCAACTTCTTTACTTGCTAAATGTAGAAAAACTTCTTCCAGAGTTGTCATTGAAATCCCATAACTAACAATACCATATTGATTTGTAAGAATAACATTTTCTATGCTAGCAAATAATTGAGGAAATTTTTCAGTTTCATCTAATGGCAGCAAATATGAAAGTTCCAAATTTGTTTTCCTTGAAAGCTGAGTATTATTAATAATATTTTTCACAAGTCTTTCAATAGAAGCTTCATCATATGAAGAAGAATTTAATGTAAATCTAAAAAATATTAAAAATAAAAATAAAAAAAACTAATATACAAGTTTTTGTGAAAAAATGTTTATAATTATAAATACAGTTCAATAAAATGTACATTTAATGAACTACATAAAAATAAATATAGTAATGTAATAAAGATATTGATTAACATATAGTGATTAACATAAGGTGCATTCAATAGAAACCTGGAAATATTTTTTACAGAGTATTTATTGCAGAAACTGAAATATTACATTACATTATCCAGCTTATGCCAGGTTTTGACAAACATATAGAGACCATGGGAAAAGAATTCTTTTGGATGGCTGTATAAACCTCTTGTGCACCACAAATTTATCATCATCATCATCCTGGAAATTCTCTCAACTCAGCACATCCTTTAGTGGATTAAAGACGTGGAAATCTAACGTAAGTTCAAGATCTGGTGAGGAAGGCATTCAAACTGCATCTTCTCAAATGTTACTGATTTTTATTGTATCTTTGTATTTTCTTTTTATTGGATTAATAAAAGTAATGCAGATGCCCTTGAGCCTTCCCTCTTCATCCCCTTTCCTATCCTCCTTTACATTTTCGTCTCTTCTCCATTACAACTTTTCTCTACATTTCACCCCAGGCAATACCTTTGAGTTTTCATCCCCTATGCTAGAAGTGTAGAAGTGTCAATAACCTGTACCATCTGTACAAATAACTGGCCTCAGATGTTTTCTCAGGTTTGAGTAGGTTACATTGGTCACAGTGCTTCCTCTGGGCTCTAAGATTGGCCTCTTGTGATTCCAGAACAAAGTCAACATAATTGTATGTAGGTCACTGCACCCAGAATTTCTTATACTATGTTCACACACAATCCATGACTCACTTCGATCTCAATTTACCAACAATCTGGACTGTGACTGTCGCCAGTCGAACATCGTGCTGTTCACACACGCAGTCCGCTTGAGAAGAACCTGGCTATTACATGCAATGATAAAACTGACATAACTATGCAGTTAGTCATGAACACCAACAAACAAAATGGAAGTTTTGGTTAGAAATAAATACTTTTTCTTGCTATATATCTAATAATAGACAATGTCATCGTCTCTCCAGTTGTCTTTTTTATTTCTCTGTTGATAGCCCGACACGTGTTCTGCAGCCATCTTGTATTTTCTTGCGCGCATGGGATTGTGGGATCTCTCTTATGACTGGATCTAGTTTCAAGAACTTTCAAGTCAATTGTGATTCAGTGTCGTTTCAGTTGAGATTGAAACAGTCGAGAGAGGTCACACCATGGCATATTTTCCGACCTTGGTCACAATCTAGATTGAAATGCTCAGTGTGAATGGGGTATTAGGTTTTCAGGATGAGTCATGACCCTAATTCATGTTTTGTCACTTTTGTTCTGCTCTTAAGATGTACCCAGCTCTAAGCCCCAGTGATAATATGTCAGAAATGCATCATCATCAGCATCATACTAGGATAGAAGCTCCTGGCAATCATCAACATGTCTCTTTAATTTCAGCTGTCAATCACTTAGACACCCACCTTGCATACATTTTTGCAAACTTCAGCTCATGATAGATGATGTGATAGGTTGATCCAACATTAATATCCAATAGTTATGTCACCTTTACGACTGTGAGGCAGTGGCCAAATTGCAATCTCTACAACTACAAGGTTGTCTTCTGTAACTGGTAAACACTGGCCCCAGGTTAGAAGAATCCTCCACTCTTGTAACATCTTTCTTGAACTTCTCAGTTCATTCATACACTTGTGTAAGACTCATACACCTGTCACCATACTGATTTCTCATCCAATGATGAATATCCATCAGTTTCATGCCTTTACTAAATAGAAATCTTACAACACTTTGCTACTTCTGCTTGGTGTACTGTTGCAAAGGCACTACCACCTTATCAAATTGTTTCCTAGGTTCCCGTGCATGCTTATATATTTAAGCAACGTAAACAAAAGAATTCATCCATATCACTGAGATCTGAAACAAAATGTGCCAGCAGCTTTGGAACTTATATTCAAGTAGGAAAAGAGACAGTATTAAACTAATACTAACACTTTATTTCTAGAGTGGAACTTAATTCTACATCTTGCAAAGATCTCTGGCAAAATGTAGAAGACCTCTATTAAGTCACTATAATCAAGTAATAGAACAGATTAAGCCCACACATTCTAATATTAAACTAATAACTGATTTTAATTTACTGATAGATAAAGATAGTTTGATTCCATGAAAATATCAGATGAGTCAAATGCATTAAGTTCTACATTACTAACAAATCTGAACGAAATGGCAAACCTCTTAATAACAGTTTTGTGGAACAGAATCTCAGACTTGATTAATAAATCTAATGAGAAGCTTGTTAATCACATGGCTTCTGTAAAAGATGACCTGAATTCTATACTTGAGTGTATTCAACAGTTGAAGAATCAAATTCAAATGGTGTAAGAAAAAAACAAAAAACATAGAATCACAAATTGACAAACTAAAAATGAAAAAGGAACTTATGCATTTTAAAATTGATTCTTTGATCAACTGTTTTAACTAAAACAGTTTTATTTTACATAATTATCCCAATTTAAAAAATATCTCAATGCTAAAAATACTGAATTTCATAAAACACTGTTATTAAAAGATATTTTGTATATAATTCAATTAACTAATACAAGAATTCCTACAATAAGATTATTGTTAAGAACTAATCAAATCTAAAATCAATTTTTTATTTTGTCCATTAAACAAAAACAAAACGGTTATTTTTTAATTCTAATGATTTCTTGATAATATGTATATTAAAACATTGCAAGAAACTTGTAGAAATATGAAAACCATTTAAAATACCATAAATATTGATAATTCAATATAGCTAACAGATTTTAGAGAAATTTTAGTAACTATCAAGAGGTGAACATATATAATTTACAAAATTATATTATTAAAATTATTGAAGAAAAATTTGTAACAGAAATTACCAAATAAATTTATGAATTTGTTAAATACAACTAAAAAATAATTTTATTTTTGATGCTAACTGTCAAAATTAATGTCATAATGCTTTGTACAGTAAATTATTTACTGTAACATTTGCAGTTAGTCTGTCCGGGACAAAAGGTTCCTTTTTGCTAATAAAGATTATTATTATTATGATAAAAAAAATATAATTCATATGTTTAACTTTAATAACAGTTTTAATGGTTTATAGTATGGAATATTAGAAAAAATTTGTTATAATCCATTAATCCAGTGAGGATCAAGTTTTTGTATTAAAATTATTATTAAAAGTTCTTGAAATATTTTGATTTTATACAATCTTCTTTTACAATAAGATATATAACCACTTACGTTAAATGATAACCAATTCCAAATTTATTTTTCAAGTATAAAGATGAACCTGCACATTTCAAATTTCCTTTAGAAATGATTGCTTTTCTATCTGTGAAAATAAAAATTCATATTACTGAAAACAATCTTGTTTAATTTCAGGATTCCTAAATAAACTTTGTGTAAAACTCAATAAAATTAACTTTAATTAATATTTCATTTACCTGCAAGAATATCAGCTTCATCCATGGAATGTGTAGTTAAAACAATCGCTCTATTTTTCTTTTCTTTTTGTAAAAATGTCCATAATAAACGACGCGAGTAAGGATCTATTCCACTTGTTGGTTCATCAAGATAAACAATCTGAGAAAAATTAAATTTATTGCTCATTAATACTTACAATGAAAAATTATCTATTACTATTTAAATTAAAAATAATGTATCTTTAATTTATTTTATTTGAACCAAAAAAATATATAACAATACAAAAAATAAAGTGAATTTACTTTCTGAAGTGTTAATAAATCTAATTTTTTCCCACTTACCAATATTTTAATTACTAACTTTGTTAAGTAATCAAATTATTTTTAAATAAGACATCAAATAACATTTATAAATATTCAAATTAAGATTTTTAATTATAATAGAATAATATGAAAGATTTTAATTATGAATACAATGTTTAACAAATTAATTTTAATTACAAAAATAAATTTATTTACAAAGGAATACTCAAAACTATTGAAGGAGTCACAAGTATTTAACATAATTAAGCACTTTTTGGGATTTTACCATACCTTCTTCAGATCCTTTACATTGGACATTAATATTTTGATGATTCAAATAGAACACATGACTCAGTATAAGTAGTGTGAATTTGGCAATAATTTGAAATTTAATAAAATTATTGTATATTAAGATTAATATTTCAATGCAATAAAATCATAATCACCATTATATAATAATCATTGACATGATTTTATTGCATTTGTATATTAAGATTAATATTTCAATGCAATAAAATCATAATCACCATTATATAATAATCATTGACAATTTAATAAAATTATTGTATATTAAGATTAATATTTCAATGCAATAAAATCATAATCACCATTATATAATAATCATTGACAATTTATATCTTTAGATATGGGCTGTGCTATTGTTTATGATAATTAAGTAATTGTCATTTGGGCATATTTAGGTGAAAAAACTGGTGAATTTCCAGAGTTTAGTGAATGTTTTATAATTTTATTTATGTGAACAGATTGAATCTATAAAACAAGATCAGAAATCAATAAGTTTTTACAGCCAGAATTATACATGATCATATTTTGAATGTAAAAATGATGTTAGTGATTATTCAAAACAACTTCCAAGTTTAGTTTTGGATAATTACAATTTATCATCACACAATAGAATTTTTTAAATCCATCTATTTTTACTTTGATGAACGGATCTATTTTATTTATTATTTACACCTAATTAATCTTAAACTATAATTTATCATTTACTAATCAATTATAAATTAATTATATTTTTAATTTCAATTACATATATATATCTATACTAATATTATAAAGAGGTAATGTTTGTTTGTATGTATGTATGTTAGTTTGTATGCAGCAGGTAATCTCCGAAACTACTCATCCGATTTCAAAAATTTTTTCACCAATATTTAGAATGGAACTTCAGGGTGGACATAGGCATCCGTTAAACATGGGGGATGGACAGTTCTTTACGGTAAGCCTTACGGGGAAGGCTTACCGTAAAGAACTCTGCTTCTATTTATACTATTTTAGATGCGGGTTTTTGCGTTTTTGATTGCATTTTAATAGGGTACGTCAACAGAATGTACACTAAGAAGGGAATTTTCGATATTCCCCGCGGGGGAGAGGGACAGGATTAAGGCTTACTGTGAAAAACTTGGCTTCTATTATACTATTTTAGATGCGGGTTTTTGCGTTTTTGATTGTGTTTTAATAGGGTACATCAAGAGAATGTACACTAAGAAAAAATTTTTCGAAAAATTTTCCCCTATGGGGGAAGTGTTATACATTTATAATAGATACATTTTGAGCCACAACAAGGCGTGGCGGGGTCTGCTAGTTAATGTTATAAACTTACTTTTGGGTTTCCTATTAAAGCTATTCCTACACATAATTTTCTTTTTTGTCCTCCACTGAGATTCTTTGCAGGAATATGTTTATTTTCAAAAAGATCAATATCACACAACATTTTTTCTACCTGAAATGAAAATGTACACTGTACAAAATATCCCATACATTAAAATATTGATATTAAATTTATTCTTACTCTTGACTTAACATCTTTTTGAACAACACCTTTAAGACAAGCAAAAGTTGTCAAATGTTCTTCTGCATTTAAATCATCTAATAATATATTTTCTTGCAAACATACACCTGTCATTGATCTTATTTTTATAAGATTATTCATGTTATTTAGATTTAGTCCACATATTGAAGCTGTTCCTGATGTTGGACTTAACATCCCATTAAGCATATTTAACAGAGTTGTTTTACCAGCACCATTGTGTCCTAATAATGCTGTAATTTGTCCTTCAAATATCGAAAAAGTCAAATCTAAAATAAAATAATTTTAATTAAAATATTAATTGTTATTGTAGTAATAATTAATTAATTTCTAATTTAAAAAAGAGCTGTATAGTAAAGTCAATTATATAAATAATTTCTGATCGTATGTACTTACTATCAGTAAAAATTTATCTTTTATTTTATAAAAATTCTATTTCTTAAAACAAATACACAAGAAATAACAACTAATTTCTTAAGTTTACCAAACAAATCAAACTGATTAAACATTTATGTATAAATAATACTATGGGCCACCCATTTAATTATATATACAGTACTGAGCCATTTTTGACTCCCCCCTGTTGTATATCATGGTGTACTTTTGGCAAACTCCTTCCCTTTCATTACATGTATAACAGTTAAAGGACTCATCTGACATTGAAACTATGAACTACTAACATGCAGAATCATTATTAAGAAAATATACTGTAGTAACAAATTATTTTAAATGTATATATTTTTCACTAAATTATATATTTTGTATGAATGCTACTACAAATTCTGATAAGTGCTACATTTGAATAGTTTTCAAAAGATTTTTTTTTTTTTTTTTGACAGTACTTATAAAAATTTAAGAAGAGATACACAGATGTCAAAACTTAGGAAAACACTGATTTAGATAATAGCTTTTTTTTAAAAAAAAATATATATATATAAATATAAATTAAAGATTATGTTTTTATTAAATTTTTTATAATTCTTTTAGAAACAAGAACTATTCTCCTCAAAATACTAAATTTAAAAAGTTTAATAAGAGTGCAAATATTTTTTGCAAACTTTAAAAATGATTTTTCTTTCCAATGAATAAAAACTGTCAACTATTTATCTTCATATAAATTATCTAATAATATATTTTCTTGCAAATGTATAGTTATTATTAAGCTTATTTTCACATTATTATTTAAACTTAATTAATATGTGAAAAAATTGATATAAGCAAAAATCATACAAAAATTTATTCTAGAAGATAAAAATGAGAATACAAGTTAAAACAAAGATGTAATACCACTAATATCCAGCAATAAGCTACTTTACCAAATAAAAACAAAAAATCAAAATGAATACAATATTATTAAATAAAAAATATTATGCTCTATGTTTTCATACAAAAATTTGGAACAGAACAGAATTTAATATATTCTATAAGACTTATCAATAGAAAAAACATTAGTAGTTACAGCATTAGAATCCACTTTATATGTTAATTTTTTCAGATATCACTTACTTCCATAATCTTTTAATTAAAAAATATCTTAATCTTTAAAATAAAATAAAAAAATTCAAATAACTTGAATTGAAAAATTTTTAAATAAAACTTGTTAGAAAGAATATCTTACAAATACAGTCAAATCTTGGTTTTCGAACATCATTTGTTCCAAAACTAAAACAAATTTTCCTATAAGAAACAATATAAAATGGATTAATCTGTTCCTGACCCGAAAATAAAGCCTTTTTTTTTATCTTTTTACCAATATTTTATGCATAAAAATGCAATTTAATACTATAATACAGTGGTTCCCAAACTTTATTGATTCTTGGCACCCTTGTTAAATCCAGATTTTCCCAAGGCACCCTATGTCAAATTCTAACAAGTACAATTTGTGAAATAACCAATATTTTTTAAATAATGTAAAATTAGAAAAATTTTATAACATTTCCTGGCACCCGTGGCACACACTTTGTGAACTGCTGCTATATTAATACAATTTTGTTATTTAATTGAACTTAAACACCTTTAAAAATGAATTCTTGGATGCTATTTACATTGCATAAATGTTAACTTACACAGTTTTTATTAATTAATTTGATTTATATTCAACTGCAGGCATACCAAAAAATGAAAATAGTATCTTTCCCATATGCATTGAAATCTAATGTAAATAGCAACGTCATCAATGATTCGCATTGTGACATCTACTGACTCAAGGCAATCTTGGTGCCACTAACTAGTCCTGTCATTGATTGGTCGGGCCATTAACTTTCTTTAACATAAAAAGTACAGGCAGTTGACCATTGGTATCTCTCCAATCTGTGGTTAGCTCTTTCCAAGAAGCTTGTTTGACAACTGAGTTATTGTAACTGGCAACTGGTCAATTATTGACAACCAGTGCAATTATAAGTTCAAAATTCTGTTTGTGAACCAATTTGTTTGAAAAGTGAGTTGTTCAAAAACCAAGCTTTGACTGTAGTTATTTTTGTTAGGATATTGAGTATAAAATTAGACATTTTCAAAGAATCACTTTTGCTGGAATTACATTTCTTTCTTTCTTGTAAAAATGATAAAACATTTATTATTAGCAGGAAGGAAAATTCACTGAGTACAGCATTATTAATAGTTTTTAATAACTATTCATAATGTCATACTCAGTGAATTTTCCTTCCTGCTATTTAACATTTGGCATGAGAATCAAGCTATATTACATTTATTATTATTAAAAAAATTATATATTTTACCATTAACAGCCTTGAAAGGTTTTCCATTAGAACTCTTAAATATCTTGGTAATATTTGAAATTCTGTAAATCAAATTTAAATACAGATGATCATATATATTAAATATTTAAAAAAAAATTTTTACAAATACAGGGTGTCCTATAAAGTTCCTATCTATTTTTGGGAAATAATAATTTTTTTCAAAAACTATAGAGAACTGAGAAATAGTAGTTTAGTAAATCAAAAGAAGAAATGCAATGAAATCAGAGGAAAGGCAATAAGGAAATTTCATAAAGAAGAATCAACAGTTTGTAGTGCCCAAGCACTATGTATAGTTTATTCCGTTTATTTTATATATATATGACGTGTGTCATGTCAGGTTTTGTTGTAAAATTCCGTTTTATTTTATGGTACCGGATTGTGAATGGGTTGGACCTGTCGTGCTTGTTGATTGGTCAGTGACCAATATCACATGTGTTTCACGTCACACCCAATGGCAGAAAGTATAAATATTGGAACTCCCGTCCAAAAGAGGACTTTTTTCTGGTTCCTGTTTCTTGAGCAATCAACAGACTACGTGGTGTAAGAATAAAGAAGAAGAAAGGGACTGACACGTGTGAACTTTCGAATGAAGAGAACGGAATCCAAATCCATCGTAGAGAATACGCCCATTATTCACGAAATAAGTGCAAGATATTAAAACAGGAAACATCAAAGGACCTCCGAAAACCATTATTCTGTTGGCATGTTGATTATTGTGTCTTTTTAAAAGGAGAAGTAATATCTTCAATCCTTTTTCTCGTATAGTGTACGTGTTCCCCAATCTTGTAAATTTAAATAGATTTATGTTCCTCTCATGTTTTAGAACAGATGAATATTTTGTAAATATTTATGATTAAACCTTTGTTACTAAAATTTAACCAGATTTGTAAAGTCCTTAATTTAATTTGTCTGTGCCTTGAACCTCTAACATCGCCTAACAGACCTAGGTCTATTGGGGCTTAACAAGTTAAATCATCCAATTTAACATCTTTAGATTTCTCTGCATGGGGCTTCATCAAATCATACAACTATCAGACAAAGATTATAATTATGGAAAGTTATGCACATATATAAAAATTGCTGCATATAACATAGCCCAGCAAAATAATGTTCCAGAATGTTTAGAAATGCTGCAGAATGATTTAAGATGTGAAAGGATACTGATAGGCATCGCAAACTTAATTACTGAATAAGTATAGATATTTTATCATTTTATAATTCAATTCTATATAATTCTTAGGTGCTTTACAAAAATAGATAAGGAATTTGTGGACAACCTATACAATTTCAATTTGTTTTAAAAATATATAGTAAATACACTTAAAAGTTGATTAAAATATATAATATAAAATAACAATATTTCTCTATTTTTTAATTCAAATATTCGTTATGAAAATGTTACTATCTTATTTTAATATATCAATAATTCTATAAAACAAATTTTGTTGTTCTCATTATTGATTATTGATGAATTTGAATTCTACTCAATCATTTCATTTGACTTTAACAATCATTGTTTCTAATAAACAAATAATAATAGCATTGATTTAAATATTTTTGTAGAATGTTTACTAAATATATTTATTAGCAATTAAAATTATTTCTGAAATTAAATTGTCTTTGATAGTAATGATACAAAATACAACAAAAGAAATAACTGATTCACCAATAAACATGATTGGAATCAAATAAGTTAATATAAAAGAATGTAGAAAATTATTACAGTTCAGTAAAAATGCTGATAATTAAAAATATCATTAAACTTAATATATTATTTTACAATTTTTTTTAATATCTAATGTACAATTGACTTTTCTTCTTAAATATATGGTTTTAACAATTGTATAGCAACATAAGGTGTTTATTTATTTCTTATTTTCAAACTTAAAAAAAAAAATATATGCTACCAATTTAATTTTTAATGGATAAACCAAAAATTCCAAAATAAAATGACAATTTTCATTTTAAATTTATTTAAAATATTGATTTAGTATGGTAGAGTTTAGAAGAGAACTGAGTATCATCCAACTTATTGCTTATTTTAAACTATTCAATTTCACTACCAATAGAAAATGTGTCATTAATATTACACAATAATATATTATATCATTATAGTCCTTGAATCTTGGCACCATTATCAATGCATGTTTCTGTTACTCCTTGTTATAGAAGTCAATTCCTGTTAATCTTACTTGGGAATGGTGTTCATCCTCTTTAGATCAGCTTTACCAGTAATGATTGTAAATTTCTAGGACAGTTGATATGAACTCAAAGAGGAAAAAGAAGTTCTTTAAAAAGAATGAGTGTTTTAATGTACTGTATTATATACCATATATATGTGCAGATAAGACGATAGTTGAATCATAAAAAAAGACCCCCAAAATCTGGGGTCATCTTATAGGACAGATACAAAAAAAATTAAAATGAAAATTATAATAAAAAGCAGACAAACTGTAATTATTTACTAATAGAGAGTAGGGTATATGAATTATAATTCAGGTATTTAACACCTTAAAAAAGTTACCTTATATCTGTGCAGATAAGACGATAGTTGAATCATGAAAAAAGGCCCCCAAAATCCGGGGTCGTCTTATAAGACAGATACAAAAAAAATTAGATTGAAATTTATATAAATTAAAACCATCATAAAATAAATCACTCACCAATGTATTTAATTAGCCCATACGAGGTTTTTATGAATAGTCAAGGTCATTACCTGAATGCCCAAATCAGTGCGAATGTTTGCAATAATTGCAAGGCAGTACTGTCAGATGCAAGAAAATAAAATTTGTTCATTTGAAAAATTGCAAATAGGACATAATTTCATATATGCTATGAAATTAGCATATATGCAGCAATCAGCAATCATTATCCTGTATTATCCAGATAATGATTGCTGATCTAAACTAAATTCTTAGGTAGTTGATAGTTTAGGAGTTGTCTTATAGGACAGATATATGCTAAAACTATAAAACTTTGACGAAAATTTACACCTCGTCTTATCTGAAGGTTGTCTTATCTGCACATATATACAGTACTTAAGCTATTTTTTATGGAATGTAATGTATTCTAATTATTTTTTAATTTTTGTCACTACTATCAATCTTTTTATTACTTTTATTAATTTTTCTAATTAACATATTGGATTGCTTACAAATGCTAATTTTTAAATGTTTAATCTATGCAGTTGGTATATAATGAATTTAATCAATTGAGTGTATTATTTTTTATTAATGAAATAAATATACTGTATTTTAATTGTGTGAGTGACTGTCTGAGTTTCATCTCCCATCTGCATTCAAACATTTTGTTGTCTACTGCCTGTAGGAAGTGTCAAATAAAAATGGTGATTCTGCAACATAGGAGACATTTTTTTGTTTTGCAGTTCACAGTCAGAATCACTCATCATTGTGGAACAAAATAACCCGCAAGAGCTGTAAAATTGTGGTTGTTGTGGGAGGTATGACAACGGATGTGCCATATTGAGGACAGGAAGAATTTGAGTATTGGTTGGATCAATTTCTCAATGCCNTTCATTTTATTATACCAATTTAAATATTTTATTTATTGATTTTGTGTTTTAATTTATCCTAATAATAAATTAATTTGTTATTTAATTGTTATTTTTTTATCTTAAATTATGTGTAGTTGCTGTTTTAAGTTTATCAAAATGGGTATTGTTTAGGGTCTGGGAATGAATTAATCACTTTCCATTTTATTTTGAATGGGAAAAAATTAAAATTGAGTTAGTCATAGGCCTAATGATGGAAGCCTGGTCCCATAAAATGTTAACATCATGTTGGTTGGCGAATGATGCTAAAACTGTACTGTCTAGGTTCTTATTAACAGAGTACTTGTGTTTTTTGACCCTTTGATCCAAGTGCTGCAAAGTAGCTCCCACATAAACTATATCAGAATCAAATCAGTGGTCATTTATTGGTATGAAGTAAATGCCCATCAAAGAGTTCTGATTTTCTCTCTTATCATTCCTTAACAATTTGTAATTGTTGAGGAATGATAAGAATAATTATTTAGACTGTGAAATCTACAGGATTTTTATTTTATATTAATTGCTATTATTTATATTAATACTAGTAGATATGACCAGTATTGCTTGTGCAAAAAGTAATAAGAATAAAATATTAAAACCGTAATAAAAATTTGGCTATTTTAGCTCAACTGAAATAAACAATGTTATTTTAGTGAAGCTTCCATATCCAGAAGACCCTATAATGTTTGAAATCATCACTAAGAATATGATTCATTAAACATATAGTGCCTTCATTATTATGCAATGCTTACATATATAAGAATGCATTAAACTTAAATTATCACAAAATGTTTAGAAAATGAAATCAGGGTAATGTTCAAGTTACAGGATAATCTACATTTTTTGCAGCACCCTAGAATAACTAAGAAATATATATATATATTTTATTTTTAATAATTTATATATTTGCTAAATGATCTAAATCAATGTTATTGCTTTCTGAATGAACTCATTTTCTATAATTTGTTCCTGATCAAATATAGCAATATTTGGCAAACATGTTTGATCAAGAAAGGACTTACTACATAAATTTATTTCTAATTTATACAAGGAAGAAAAAACTGCACAAATGATATTTATAATTTCTTTTGATCAAACTTTGAAGTGAATGAAACTGCACAAGTATTTTGTCTATTTCAAAAGATTTTTTATTTTCTTTAAATAAAGGCAATAAATAAAATATAATTTTATTTAAATTTAAATAACAGATAATAAACCTACCTGGAATAACACAATCAAAGTAATATGCTAATAATCCATACAATACAATGTCAACTGATAGCATTATAAATGAATCATTTATTGAAAATTTTCCCAATGACATTTGCTCCCATGAAACTTGGCCTAAAACATCATAAGTTACTACCTAGAAAACAATTATTATAAAAAAAATAACTTATCATAAAAATTATTAAATTTAATAAAAAATAATTTTACTATTTATTGATAATTAGTAAATCTAGCATAAATGGCACTTGAAATGATGAATATATTATTTCTAAACAGTTAAACTAGAAAAATTTTGACTTTACAATAAAAATGACAAAATACATTATTTTTTATGTAAATAAATCTTAAAAAAATATTTACTGACTATATCATATAGTCAATTTTACATACATTTACTTGAAATTAATACACACTTTTAATATAAATTTTTAAACTTTTAAATTAAAAATAGTAAACTATTATATTTAAAATTAAAATACTGATAGTTGCTTATTTAATAATAAATATTTAATGCATATTATACTAAGATAAAATTTAATTAAAAATATAGTTTTCATTAGTAACTTTATGAAATTCTGTAATAAAAAACTTACTTTCAGAAATCCTAATGAAAAAGCTGTTGGAGATAATAATGCAAGAAGAAAAAAGAAAACAACATTCACTTTACTTTCAACCCAAATGGCAAGAAAATAAAATAAACCAAAAAGCACCAATACAAGTCCAAGTGCTGATCCAGCAACCTAAAACCAGCAAAATATTATCATTATATTAAAAATAAAATTCTTCACTGATTTAATAATAATGGTAATAAACTTACTTTTGCATTATTAAAGAAGGGAGTTAACATGAATGCTAGCATGACTATAGATAATGCAAACAGCATAAGTAATCCAAAGATGATAAAAACACTAGCATTTGGCAAAATATTCAAAGCAAATATAATCACAGTCATAAGAATTGAAATGATGAATGCCATAATTGCTTCTGTTACAAACCAAGCTAACCTAAAAACAAAAATTCTAGTAATACATTAATTGCAAACATTAAATTTTTTTGATAATTAGCAAATTTTTTACTTAATAAAAATATTTAAAGTAAAACTATTTGTAAAGTAGTAGTTCAAAACATTATATATTGATTAATTATGTACAGTACATAAGGACTATTATATATCCTTAAATAGTTCAGAGAATTTTAAAATTTCTGTGATTAACAAATTATACACTGGAAATCAAAATATAAATAAATGGAAACTTTAGATTATCAAATTAAAACTATTAATCCTTAATATTTTTGTCAGCTGTAAGTTTCCATTTAAATAAACTTAAATGCATTTTTTAAATATTTTCAAAACTGCATTCAGTAAAATCTAATGCCATATTACATAATAAATAGATATAGCTGGACTGTAGCAGTGCTCGTATTTTTATAAATGTATTGTTATAATGATTAAATAATAAATTAAATTTTAAAATATTTGAAATTAATAAAATACATAATATACTAACCAATAACAAGTAATATTCATTCCCATCATTAACATTCCTTCTTTGATTTTCTTCTCTTTTTCTGTTACAATAATTAATGCCAATATAGATATTAATGGTGAAAAAGCAAGCATTAAGTAAAGAGGAACAACAGTTTTCATTGTTGTTGAATCCTTTACAAATTTTTCTTTTGGATAAAGTTGAATAGTAGTCTCAGATTTAATTTCATAACTTGACAATATCTGAAATAATAAATAATTGTTCATTATATTAATTACATGTTTAAAATAATATTATTATTGTATAGTCTATAATAATTATGATCTATATTATCTGAATATATTATTAACATAAAAATTGATTTTTCAGTAGTTTTCAGTTCTAATTTTCTTTTAATATTCAAAATACAATAATAAATTTTAAATACCTTTTTTAACATTTTCAAGTATTCTTTGTACATTTTCAGCTATATATTGAAATTTTGAAATTAAGATGAACAATCTTAATAACATATCCATTAAATATTAGGTCATCTAGCATATTGAGATAAAAATAGACATACTGAGCAAAAATTTTGGTCCAAATAATTCTGAAATAATTTCAGTAATAATTAAAAAGTAAAATTGGAATAATTTTGGAAATTTTGATTTAAATTTGATTTTCACAGAGGCTCAGCTTAAACATGATTCTAGAAATTTCAGGCAATAAACAAATGTCTTATTGCCTAGCTATTTGAGTAACAGTTAAATAATATAGGAAAAGAAATATAGAGTCTAACTTTTGATATTATTTAAATATTCATTAATTTAAGATGAATTAAATAGAATATGAGCAATTATTTAATGTGACATCATCACAATGCCAGGCTGCAATTTTTAATCATATTTTTAATAGTATTTTAATTTAAAATATGTGCTCTTTACCTCAAATTAGTAGTGTCTTGTCCCTGTACATCACAGATTTCCATTAGCAATAGTCATGCAGGTCATCTATCTAATTCCTTTCAGGGGAAATTTTTGAATTGAAATCACATGATTTCTGGTCTTGGAAGTTTGTGTATAGTTAATTGGGGCATCCCGCTCCTAATCTTTCCATATCTGGTCTCATCATTCATATATCTAACTCCGTTCTCAAGATTAAGAAAAGACAGAAGGACAGCAGTGGGAATTTATAAGTCTAAATTTTTCAAATTGCAACTCAACTAGCATGAGTCCATTGAAATTAATGGTTTCATTCAATTAAAATACAAGGATCTCATTTAAAATTTGGCATTTTACACAAAAATCACACAGTACAACAAGTGTTTTCTGGACCATTTGGAAGCAATTCATATCTATCTGTTCTCTGAGAGAAGATTATTCAGAAGAACACAAGGTTCCTTTCACCAGTCTTCTCTCTCAATGGTTTCTTTTAATTTGACATCCAGGTCCTAGGGTGGCAATTTAGCATTCCTAAGGCCAACTAAACTACTGGGGTTTTGGATTAACAGTGAGGACAGTGTTGGCTGCATCATGGCAATCTCATTGGCTATTATAAAACTCTAAAATTATTTATGGTCATATGTTCAAGTTTACTCTTCTTATAGTTGGTAGATTTGTTGAGAAAGCCATCAATCAACATTAAGTAACAAATTGAATGGTTAGAATCATGTTTTGGTCTCATCACAAAGTGACAGTAAAAGAACAGAGGTTGGCACTAAAAGTTGGTAGATGGCACAATGGTCAATATTGACAAAACTAATTTATTGAAAAAATAATGCAAAACGTCTTTTAATTAATGCATAATTAGCAAACAAATTAGGAATTCATGGTAGTGGTGAGCAACGGGTTTTTCAAATGCTTAAGAAAAAGTAAATTGCTAAATGATGTGCAAGTGCATATGTTTGCCACTTGCCTTCCCACAGACTTAATGTATATTTGCCACTCCACCACATCCAAACCATTGCATATTTCTCAAATCTCTCTTCAGCAGCATTATCTACAGGTAAGAGCTTTAATTTGATACCAGAACTGTATTGTTAGTCCCAGCAGTTTACTCAAGCTAAGTTGGACAAACTGAAACTTACTTTCAATTAATACACTGTGTATATAGATAAAAAATTAATTTTTTTATTTGAATGGCTTCAATTATTAGTTTTAAAGTTAATGTTACACTTTAAAACTGTTATTGTATAGTAAACTTAGAATATAGCTAAAATCACTAGGAAATATATCATTCCATGCATGGAAAGCTAGAACTTCTTTAAATAAGTTTCACAAAACATTCCAATGTTATAGAACATGAAGAAGGCCATTTAAAATGGCCAAAAACGTTTGTTCTCTTATGGATTAAGAGACTGCTAGAAAAAGAGTGAAAAGTTTTGTAAAACTTACTGAAATACACAATTTTAAATTTTCTTCTATATGTTGTATAAGTTAAAAATAAAGTAAACAGCTGCTCAGTTCAGATAAGGTAAAACATTGATATATAACTGTTGTAAAATTCTTAAGTCAGTATAGTATTATTATTAATATAGAATATGAATATGAAATTAACAATGCTTGGTTAAAATATGGTTATCANAAAAAAAAAATAGATTGAAATTTATATAAATTAAAACCATTAAAAAACCGACAAACTGTAATTATTTACTGGCAGAGAGTAGGGTATGTCCACAAAATAGAATAGCCCATATGACGTTTTTGTGAATAGTCAAGGTCATTACCCGAATGCCTGAATCAGTGTGAATGTTTGCAACAATCACAAAGCAGTGCTGCCAGATACAAGAAAATAAAATTTGAAGTTGTTTCAAAAAATTACAAATAGGACATAATTCTGTATATGCTGTACAGTGTTATTATCCAGATGATGATCGCTGATCTAAATTAATCTTGATATGACTTGCTGTAAGATAGTCTACCGAGAGAAATATTTTCAGATTAAAGAGACAACCATTCACTGAATGAATATACAGCTACAATTAGTAAATTCAACAGATTTAAACTAAATTCATAGGTCATTGATAGTTTTGGGGTTGTCTTATAGGATAGATATATGCTAAAACTATAAAACTTTGATGAAAATTTATACCTTGTCTTATCTGAAGGTCATTTTATCTGCACAGATATATGGTAGTTAACAAAATAAATGTAAATTGTTATATGACACTTAGAATTTAAATATAAAGCAATCTATCAATTATCTTTTAAGCTTCAATATCATTTACTGTTAAAATGAGTTCCTAAATAAAATAAATTTTTAAAACTAATTCTGTAATATATCTAGTACAGAGATCTAAAAGATAACAATTAATCTGTCCAAATGATCTTTTATATGTATTACATTATGATATATTGTTATTTATTATATATTTTATAATACAAAATTATTTAACTTTGTTTTATAGTATTTATATTCTTGGCTATCAGAGTGCAGCAGCATTCTATAGTAAAGATCTGCCACAAATGCTAATGTTAAAATGCCAACTTTGATTCTATATCTCCATGACCAATGAACCATCATCTCAGTTTTACTTTGTGCCTTAAAGTCATTATACCTATAATAATACGGTGAACATTAGAGCTCCTTTTGAGCAGTATTAGTGAAAAAACTTTAAGGCACAAAGTAGTGTTGCCACCTTTTCAAAATCGCTGACCCAGACGGCAGGTCAGGTTTGTTCGAACAGGAGTTTCTGATGCATACACAATGTCATTTTACAATGCAAAGAATAACGTGCATGCTGGTTCTAAATCAGTTACAGTATAGGGACTTGCATAGGAGTAACATAAGTAACCTATATTAAGAAAGAACAGGTACAGATGACTTAGCTCTATTGGATATTGGAGACGTGTATATTCATACATGAAAAAAAAAAGCTTGACAGGTTGCGTGCCACATGTCAGTGTAAACAGACTAATATAGCAGAATTGCAGATGAATTTCAGTGAGTGTGAGTTCTTTCCCTATTAAAATAGTGTAAATTTGTAAAAATGTTTGCAAGAACTTTGTTTCATTGTAATTTCACAATTTCTATGAAATTCCTGGACAAAATTAATAGTTCACCTGGACAGTGAGTCAATTCCTGGACTGTCTGGATGAAAACCAGACAGGTGGCAACACTAGCACAAAGTAAAGTTTGAAGCCTTTTCCTGTGATGATGCTTGTTTTTCTCATTTATTATCATGGTGATATTGCTTCATCCAAACCTTCCTGCAGTTGTAGTCTGTGTAATGTGCACTTTATTCAAATGTTGAGTCTTACTGTCAAATCTGGTTCCAGTATTTTATGTCATAACTTTCAAAAGTTTCCTTTATTTAGATGCTTTCGCTGAGCTTTACTTTTCAATCTGATTTCACCAGTTCTTAAGATATGATATATTATTATGTAATATAAATTATACATTTTTTGTAACCACTTCAAAAGAAATTTTTCATATCTTTTCTTATTGTAAACATTTAAAAGATGATAATATTTTAGATTCATAGCCAATTGACAGACTTACTTACAGAAATAAATGGAAAATATATTCATAGCTCTGTCTAATATTTCAACATATAAAATATATATTTAACAAATTAAGATGTAAATTTACACTAAATAATTTTCAGTTTATGAGATATGTAAACTTATTAATTTAAGAATAAACTATTTTAGTTTCAAATATTTTAACAGTTGTTATTTTAAAATAAATTCAACTGTCAGTCAAAAAGTATAAAATTTTTCTAACAGTATAAGTTGTTATTCCAAAATTATGAACAATTTATTCATCAAATCAGAGTATTATGCATATTTTGAAAGTCTAAATGTATGTACACTTTTGTAATTTTAAATATATTATGTATATACATATATACCTGATTCTTTCTTTTCCATACAATTCCAACGGAACAGGTTCAATATCTTCTGAATTTATGGCATCAACTTTAATATCTGGTGGGATGTAAACAGTTTCACTATCAAAATTTTTAGACTGCCAATATGAAGGCAATAAAAAAAACCAAGGTTTTTGTTTTCTTCCATAAGTACCTATAAAAAAATAAAACATAAATAAGAACATTATTATAAAAAATCAGCTAGAAAATGTCATCACTATTTCTATTAAAAATATATTACTCTTAATGAACATATAAAAAGAAGAGTTAGATCTTTCTTTTGAAAACATATTACAGAATTGAAACATACGTAATTGTGAAACATAATTAAAAGTTTATCATAGCATATATAAATTTAAGATCACATTAATTTACTTTTATTTTGCCAATCTGCAAATATTTTAATTGTGATAGTAATCCCAATAAAAATTAGTTGTGAAGTTATATTGACTTTCATTGACCAGAAAATTATTTTCATTAGTAACCAACCAGTATCATATATACCAGAAAATTATTTTATTGAAGTCTATTGGTTTAAATAATTTATTCCCCTATAATACCAATAGAAAATTCTATTAGTTTTAATTATTGCCCTAGAATACCAATAGAAATTTTTATTGGTTTATATTGGTTTTTACTTTTCAGTATAAACCAACACAACACCAATAGAATCTCCTATTGGTTTTTATTGGTTTCTATTATTTTTTAACAGGGTTATGTGAATTAGTATTATGAAAACTAGAAAAAACTATTATGAATGGCTTCAAAGCAGATATTATATACAGTGGTGCCTCGTATAACGTACTTAATCCGTTCCAGGTGCACATCCATTAAGTGAAAAGTCCATTATATAAAACACATTTTCCCATAAAAATACATGTTAAAACATATAATTCGTTCCGCAGCATAAAATAACCGTACTGTACCATAAAAAAATGAAAAGTGAGCAGTCACCAATTATGCCTGGTAGTCAGATGTTGTGAGGAGGAGGTGGAGGAACACTTTCTTCACACATTCATACAGACACACACTTTTTACACATTGCAGCAGGTCTCTTTTTATTGTTTTTTAATCGGAGTCAGATTCTGGAGAGCTACAGTAGCTTGCAGCCTCTCCTCTTGTTCCATCCTTTGTTTTTTGGCAGCTGGCTTCTTGAAAAACACGTCCAAAATGGTCTGTTTCTCTTTCTTCTTCAACACCTGTCAGAAATGACGGGCAAGGGTGTCATTGTAGAGATCATTGATCCTGTTGGCCTCAGCTGAGTTTGGATTGTGAGTGTTCGTAAACTCCTGAACCTCTCCCCATTTGACAAGGAAGTCTGTGTCAATTTTCACTTCTTCTGATGATTTCTTGCTTTATTAAAATTGAAATCACCTTTGTTTTTTTAGAAGCCATGATTTGCACAACACTTGAATAAATGTAAATACCCTGCACTGAGGTGATGTATGTAATAAACAAGGGAGCAAGCTGAATCCCAACAGGAGCTCTGTACTTAAGATATACTAATAATATATTCTAATAACACTAATACCGTATATTATAAAAATAGCAGATTGTCATTGGCAACGGCAAAAGAGTGGAAACATCATTTGCACTTGTTCGCCTCACGTAACTGCCAAACGGAAAGTCTGTTGTTTGCAGCCAGTTCATTGCTCAAGTCATGTATCAGCCAAACAGAAAGTCCGTTGTTCACAGCGTCCATTATTCGAGGCGTACGTTATACGAAGCACCATTGTATTTTAAAAGATATGTGGATGATTTATGCATAATTTGTAAGAATAACAAAGGCATCACTGAATTTATTGATAAGATTAACAGTAACAAAGATAAACTGAAATTAAAAATAGAACAAAAAAGCTTACTACACCTACATTTTTTGGATATAAATATAGAATTTAAAAACAGAAGGATAAACACAAGTGTGTACATGAAGCCAACACACAGCCCACTGTGCATTCCTTCCAACTCAAATGATCCTTATCAATACAAACTAGCAGCATTCTGGGCACTCATCAGAAAAGCTTTTTTATATTGCAATAATGAAATAGACAGATTGAAGGAGTTGGATAGAATTAAACAAATGGCCACAACACTAGGATATGGAACTAGCACAATAGGTCTGATTAGAAGGTTTGAAGATAACAAACCTAGGACAAAAAACAGCAAACCTAGTGGAATCACAAAATTCACTTTTAACAGAAGTATAACTAACATCATGAAAGAAATTTCAGAACATAAAGAGTCTAATATGATTGTAAAAAGAGCCCCAACTATATATCAAATTTTAAGAAACAATAAGGATAGATTAGAAACAAGAAACAGCAGGTATGTACAGGCTACCATATGAAAACATGCAGTTGGGGATAGATAAGGATTACAACAGTGGCACCTCAAGGAACTTGAAAATTAGACTTAAGGAACATCAATATAATGTAAGAAAGAAATCCAATAACATGGTTCTATCTAGGATGGTGCAGACTGAGGGCTTGGGGATAAAATGGGAAGAGGCAAACATCATTAAGTCTAAATATTCCCTTACATTAGCAAAGAATGTTGAAAAACTTGTAATATATAAAAGCAGATTGAAAGATAAGTGCATTAATGCAAGAGATGCAGACAGCTTGGCAATGACATGGAAATACATTGTAAAAAATAAGTTTGTTAGAAGATCCTAATTACCTCATTTTCTACTATATATATTTTTGCATATTTTTTGAGTTATTTATTTTACATTTTACTATTATTCATTATTTATATTAACTTTTAGTTATTTTTGCTTTACATTCAAATATTTAAACGTTGTTATTCTTTTATTCTATTTATGTATTCTATTTTGGAATGATATTTAATGGTGAAAATGTTCCAAGAAAAATGTAGCCTGAGGATGACCTATTAGACTAGGTTGAAAACATTTGCCAAATAAGGGTCCATTTACACACAACAGTGATGTGACTGTACAGTGTCCGCTCAGTGCAGTGATTTTTTGCCAGTGGGAAATCATTGACCTAGTTTTAAACCACCCTGTCCAGACTTGTCTGTCACAGTGCTGTGCAGTGACTTGACCTGAATGATATTTTCACTGATGGTAAACTTTGTTTTCCAATGGATGATGAACATTTAATTGAAATGGTGCATCAACACCTTGTTCTATTTGATTTATCTCATTCGAAATACACGGACATTGCATACAAAATGAATATTTCTCAGTTTTGTTTAATAAAATATGAAATGCATGTTGGGACATTCAAAAATATTCAAAAAATATAGATTCATCATCTATTAATTTTTTATAAAGAGTATGAAACTCCCATTCTGTTGATCTATTTTGTCCATGCTTGATGTACCCACTTGTGGTGTTTTCTTGATTGCATTTCTTTTTCTTCTTCATTCAAACATATAGCTATCATAGCCAATTCATCTTTAGAAAAGTTCATGACCACTCACCAAGAGCACAGTCACATCACTGTTGTGTGTAAATACTCATCACTGCTGTGCTGGACATTACTGTCATGAAACGGTCACTGTGCCGGCACATCACTGTTGTGTGTAAATGGACCCTAAAAGCAAATCCTACAGCCAAAAAGGTGTTTACAGATATATTTTGAGGTTGATTTAGATTATTAATCCTCCAAAGATATTTTCGATTTAAAAATATATATACTGTATCAAATATATTTTAAATCAATAAGCTTTCAATATAATCTATCATATTAAAAAAACTGTTTTTAATGTTTTTTTATGCATGTTATGCATGTATATATATTGTTGTGTGATGTTTCATAATATGGATATGATTATTGTTATTTATATGTATAAATAAAATGTTTATGTTATATAATTGTGTGTTGTCACTTTTCATGGGATCCATGTGACAGTAACCTTCAAAACAAGATATGCCATTATATAATGATGAGGTTCACATAGTTATGTTCAAAAATGTCAACCTAAATACTTTTTCAGCAGTTTAGTAGATGATTTATGAGCATTATCAACTATATTCACTAGTCTGCTTCAGGTCTAACTGAAACTTCTTAGTTTTAAAAAATAGAATGCCTCAATTCTATAATGTCTCTAATGTTCTAAACTGTATTGGAATCTTTTCCAATACAGTTTAGAATTGATGCATACCATTTTTTAAAAATAAGAAGTTCTGGTTAGACCTGAAGCAGACTAGTGAATGTAGTTGAAAACATTTGTAAATCATCTATTCCACTGCTGAAAAACTACTTATATCTATGTTCAAAAAAATTCAATCTAAGTTTCAGCTTTCTAACATTGAAATTTAGGTTTACATAGGGCAATCACTCAGGCCTGTTTGTGCCATATCCACATCGTACAACCTCACAATTGTTATATAGTGATACCTCATATTTCAAATGTTTCAGAGTTCAAACACTAAATTTGACAAAAATTAATTTTCAGAGTTTAAATGATGCTTGGAAGTTCATACTGTACATGGAGTAAAAAAATGCAATCAAAGCATTAAATAAGCTTTTGAATAAGAATACAGACTCAACTTAACAGTAATGTGTTAAATTTCACAAGTGTTATAATTAAATCACACAACTATCTTAAGTAATGACAACTATTAAAAAATACACAAAAACTCTCTGTTGGACTCAGTATAAATTTTACTTATAGTATAGCATCTGAGGAGTGAATAAATTTATGGACAGAATGAAGTCTAAAAGGAAAGTTGTAATATTGATGATTGATATATAAAAGGAACTTATTGCAAACCACAAAAGTGGTATGCATGTAGTGAATATGGCAGCCATGTTTAAGATGCCAAAGTTGACAATGTGTAAACAATAAATGCAATTTTCATTTTATTATACCAATTTAAATATTTTATTTATTGATTTTGTGTTTTAATTTATCCTAATAATAAATTAATTTGTTATTTAATTGTTATTTTTTTATCTTAAATTATGTGTAGTTGCTGTTTTAAGTTTATCAAAATGGGTATTGTTTAGGGTCTGGGAATGAATTAATCACTTTCCATTTTATTTTGAATGGGAAAAAATTAAATTTGAGTTAGTCATAGGCCTAATGATGGAAGCCTGGTCCCATAAAATGTTAACATCATGTTGGTTGGCGAATGATGCTAAAACTGTACTGTCTAGGTTCTTATTAACAGAGTACTTGTGTTTTTTGACCCTTTGATCCAAGTGCTGCAAAGTAGCTCCCACATAAACTATATCAGAATCAAATCAGTGGTCATTTATTGGTATGAAGTAAATGCCCATCAAAGAGTTCTGATTTTCTCTCTTATCATTCCTTAACAATTTGTAATTGTTGAGGAATGATAAGAATAATTATTTAGACTGTGAAATCTACAGGATTTTTATTTTATATTAATTGCTATTATTTATATTAATACTAGTAGATATGACCAGTATTGCTTGTGCAAAAAGTAATAAGAATAAAATATTAAAACCGTAATAAAAATTTGGCTATTTTAGCTCAACTGAAATAAACAATGTTATTTTAGTGAAGCTTCCATATCCAGAAGACCCTATAATGTTTGAAATCATCACTAAGAATATGATTCATTAAACATATAGTGCCTTCATTATTATGCAATGCTTACATATATAAGAATGCATTAAACTTAAATTATCACAAAATGTTTAGAAAATGAAATCAGGGTAATGTTCAAGTTACAGGATAATCTACATTTTTTGCAGCACCCTAGAATAACTAAGAAATATATATATATATTTTATTTTTAATAATTTATATATTTGCTAAATGATCTAAATCAATGTTATTGCTTTCTGAATGAACTCATTTTCTATAATTTGTTCCTGATCAAATATAGCAATATTTGGCAAACATGTTTGATCAAGAAAGGACTTACTACATAAATTTATTTCTAATTTATACAAGGAAGAAAAAACTGCACAAATGATATTTATAATTTCTTTTGATCAAACTTTGAAGTGAATGAAACTGCACAAGTATTTTGTCTATTTCAAAAGATTTTTTATTTTCTTTAAATAAAGGCAATAAATAAAATATAATTTTATTTAAATTTAAATAACAGATAATAAACCTACCTGGAATAACACAATCAAAGTAATATGCTAATAATCCATACAATACAATGTCAACTGATAGCATTATAAATGAATCATTTATTGAAAATTTTCCCAATGACATTTGCTCCCATGAAACTTGGCCTAAAACATCATAAGTTACTACCTAGAAAACAATTATTATAAAAAAAATAACTTATCATAAAAATTATTAAATTTAATAAAAAATAATTTTACTATTTATTGATAATTAGTAAATCTAGCATAAATGGCACTTGAAATGATGAATATATTATTTCTAAACAGTTAAACTAGAAAAATTTTGACTTTACAATAAAAATGACAAAATACATTATTTTTTATGTAAATAAATCTTAAAAAAATATTTACTGACTATATCATATAGTCAATTTTACATACATTTACTTGAAATTAATACACACTTTTAATATAAATTTTTAAACTTTTAAATTAAAAATAGTAAACTATTATATTTAAAATTAAAATACTGATAGTTGCTTATTTAATAATAAATATTTAATGCATATTATACTAAGATAAAATTTAATTAAAAATATAGTTTTCATTAGTAACTTTATGAAATTCTGTAATAAAAAACTTACTTTCAGAAATCCTAATGAAAAAGCTGTTGGAGATAATAATGCAAGAAGAAAAAAGAAAACAACATTCACTTTACTTTCAACCCAAATGGCAAGAAAATAAAATAAACCAAAAAGCACCAATACAAGTCCAAGTGCTGATCCAGCAACCTAAAACCAGCAAAATATTATCATTATATTAAAAATAAAATTCTTCACTGATTTAATAATAATGGTAATAAACTTACTTTTGCATTATTAAAGAAGGGAGTTAACATGAATGCTAGCATGACTATAGATAATGCAAACAGCATAAGTAATCCAAAGATGATAAAAACACTAGCATTTGGCAAAATATTCAAAGCAAATATAATCACAGTCATAAGAATTGAAATGATGAATGCCATAATTGCTTCTGTTACAAACCAAGCTAACCTAAAAACAAAAATTCTAGTAATACATTAATTGCAAACATTAAATTTTTTTGATAATTAGCAAATTTTTTACTTAATAAAAATATTTAAAGTAAAACTATTTGTAAAGTAGTAGTTCAAAACATTATATATTGATTAATTATGTACAGTACATAAGGACTATTATATATCCTTAAATAGTTCAGAGAATTTTAAAATTTCTGTGATTAACAAATTATACACTGGAAATCAAAATATAAATAAATGGAAACTTTAGATTATCAAATTAAAACTATTAATCCTTAATATTTTTGTCAGCTGTAAGTTTCCATTTAAATAAACTTAAATGCATTTTTTAAATATTTTCAAAACTGCATTCAGTAAAATCTAATGCCATATAACATAATAAATAGATATAGCTGGACTGTAGCAGTGCTCGTATTTTTATAAATGTATTGTTATAATGATTAAATAATAAATTAAATTTTAAAATATTTGAAATTAATAAAATACATAATATACTAACCAATAACAAGTAATATTCATTCCCATCATTAACATTCCTTCTTTGATTTTCTTCTCTTTTTCTGTTACAATAATTAATGCCAATATAGATATTAATGGTGAAAAAGCAAGCATTAAGTAAAGAGGAACAACAGTTTTCATTGTTGTTGAATCCTTTACAAATTTTTCTTTTGGATAAAGTTGAATAGTAGTCTCAGATTTAATTTCATAACTTGACAATATCTGAAATAATAAATAATTGTTCATTATATTAATTACATGTTTAAAATAATATTATTATTGTATAGTCTATAATAATTATGATCTATATTATCTGAATATATTATTAACATAAAAATTGATTTTTCAGTAGTTTTCAGTTCTAATTTTCTTTTAATATTCAAAATACAATAATAAATTTTAAATACCTTTTTTAACATTTTCAAGTATTCTTTGTACATTTTCAGCTATATATTGAAATTTTGAAATTAAGATGAACAATCTTAATAACATATCCATTAAATATTAGGTCATCTAGCATATTGAGATAAAAATAGACATACTGAGCAAAAATTTTGGTCCAAATAATTCTGAAATAATTTCAGTAATAATTAAAAAGTAAAATTGGAATAATTTTGGAAATTTTGATTTAAATTTGATTTTCACAGAGGCTCAGCTTAAACATGATTCTAGAAATTTCAGGCAATAAACAAATGTCTTATTGCCTAGCTATTTGAGTAACAGTTAAATAATATAGGAAAAGAAATATAGAGTCTAACTTTTGATATTATTTAAATATTCATTAATTTAAGATGAATTAAATAGAATATGAGCAATTATTTAATGTGACATCATCACAATGCCAGGCTGCAATTTTTAATCATATTTTTAATAGTATTTTAATTTAAAATATGTGCTCTTTACCTCAAATTAGTAGTGTCTTGTCCCTGTACATCACAGATTTCCATTAGCAATAGTCATGCAGGTCATCTATCTAATTCCTTTCAGGGGAAATTTTTGAATTGAAATCACATGATTTCTGGTCTTGGAAGTTTGTGTATAGTTAATTGGGGCATCCCGCTCCTAATCTTTCCATATCTGGTCTCATCATTCATATATCTAACTCCGTTCTCAAGATTAAGAAAAGACAGAAGGACAGCAGTGGGAATTTATAAGTCTAAATTTTTCAAATTGCAACTCAACTAGCATGAGTCCATTGAAATTAATGGTTTCATTCAATTAAAATACAAGGATCTCATTTAAAATTTGGCATTTTACACAAAAATCACACAGTACAACAAGTGTTTTCTGGACCATTTGGAAGCAATTCATATCTATCTGTTCTCTGAGAGAAGATTATTCAGAAGAACACAAGGTTCCTTTCACCAGTCTTCTCTCTCAATGGTTTCTTTTAATTTGACATCCAGGTCCTAGGGTGGCAATTTAGCATTCCTAAGGCCAACTAAACTACTGGGGTTTTGGATTAACAGTGAGGACAGTGTTGGCTGCATCATGGCAATCTCATTGGCTATTATAAAACTCTAAAATTATTTATGGTCATATGTTCAAGTTTACTCTTCTTATAGTTGGTAGATTTGTTGAGAAAGCCATCAATCAACATTAAGTAACAAATTGAATGGTTAGAATCATGTTTTGGTCTCATCACAAAGTGACAGTAAAAGAACAGAGGTTGGCACTAAAAGTTGGTAGATGGCACAATGGTCAATATTGACAAAACTAATTTATTGAAAAAATAATGCAAAACGTCTTTTAATTAATGCATAATTAGCAAACAAATTAGGAATTCATGGTAGTGGTGAGCAACGGGTTTTTCAAATGCTTAAGAAAAAGTAAATTGCTAAATGATGTGCAAGTGCATATGTTTGCCACTTGCCTTCCCACAGACTTAATGTATATTTGCCACTCCACCACATCCAAACCATTGCATATTTCTCAAATCTCTCTTCAGCAGCATTATCTACAGGTAAGAGCTTTAATTTGATACCAGAACTGTATTGTTAGTCCCAGCAGTTTACTCAAGCTAAGTTGGACAAACTGAAACTTACTTTCAATTAATACACTGTGTATATAGATAAAAAATTAATTTTTTTATTTGAATGGCTTCAATTATTAGTTTTAAAGTTAATGTTACACTTTAAAACTGTTATTGTATAGTAAACTTAGAATATAGCTAAAATCACTAGGAAATATATCATTCCATGCATGGAAAGCTAGAACTTCTTTAAATAAGTTTCACAAAACATTCCAATGTTATAGAACATGAAGAAGGCCATTTAAAATGGCCAAAAACGTTTGTTCTCTTATGGATTAAGAGACTGCTAGAAAAAGAGTGAAAAGTTTTGTAAAACTTACTGAAATACACAATTTTAAATTTTCTTCTATATGTTGTATAAGTTAAAAATAAAGTAAACAGCTGCTCAGTTCAGATAAGGTAAAACATTGATATATAACTGTTGTAAAATTCTTAAGTCAGTATAGTATTATTATTAATATAGAATATGAATATGAAATTAACAATGCTTGGTTAAAATATGGTTATCAAGTTCCTTCAATCTTTTTTTTCTGAAAAAAGGTTACTACCAAAATATCTGTAATGGTTATTTACCACATTTATTTAATTATTTTGATATAAAATAACTATTTTTACTAGAATTCTTTTATTTTATACAAAATTTTTAACATTTAATTATAGTTCTTTCTATTTTATTTTTAAAATAAAATTTATTTAATATTAGATGTTCTACTGCATTTCTTTATAATTTTCAAAATTTACTTCTATTATATCATTCTGGATGTATCAATTTTGTTTGAACATAATAACATTTGTATATGTTCTAAGCTGAGAATGATCAGATATTTACTAAAAATGTTTCTTTCTTTTATTAAAAATGTTGGCTACTCAAACTAGGCAGTTGTTTATTTTTCAATAGTTATTACTTACAATAATAGAAATTATAAGTAAAGATGTTAATAAATTCAATTAATAATTATTCAAATTTTCTTTACAATCATTTCTCATACATCATATACATTATATTACACAGTATTACTGTGAGAGCCGAACTTGGTGAAATGGTTTGTTTAAATTTTGTTGTTGTAAAATAAATTATTGTTTTATTTTTAAGTTAGAGAGAGAGATAAACAAAAACTCAACATTTTAAAGGATAATTAAATTGTTTCCCACAGATTTATTTTCTGGTTGAAGATGATACATCAAATGTGTCACCCGGAATCTATGAAAAGCAAAAGAAAACCAACTATTGGACGGTGGTGAACAAAAGTCCTAATAAGGCAGTGGGAAAAACCCAACGATAGACCCCTTTATAAAAAAGAGGGGTTGATGCGTCAAAGAGAGTCTCCAGTTTTGAGTGAACTGTGTATGTGTGGATTAATAGCCGTTGCCCTTGGATGTTCTAACCGCCACTGTCTGGGAAGACCACCGCCTAAAGGAACATCGTTGTCGTTCTGAAGGACTTTGTGCCATCTCGAGACTCATGGACTAAATTTCCAACTATTCTACAACTTATATCAAGGTATTTATCCTCACACGCAATAATCATAACCTCTCTCTCTCATTAGTACTTGTTATCAGGGTAATAATAGCTATGTCAATTGTAATACAAATGATTTGTATATAGTTAAATCGAATAATAAACGGGTATTATGTATATAAAGATAATCTGTAGAGTGTAATTCCTCTGATTCTCTCCTTCTGCCTCCATCCCAGAACCAAAAGTCTGCACGCACGACCATTTGCGTAAAAGAAAATTAACGGCCAATTGGGTTTCTGTGTCTGTCCACAAGACACAGTGGTGTCATCCTGACAGGGCGCTAAAGAGGTGCCGACCCTGCGGTCACATTACTTTATATATTTATTATTAATTTATATATATTAGTAATTACTTTACAGTATTACTTTATTTATATACACAGTATAATTATATTTTTTATTTTTTGTTAAATAAAGCATTTTTTTCCAATCTGTTAAATTGTATGCACTCATTATTAGTGTTGTAACGAATAGTATATTCGACCAAGAGCGTGGCTGAATAGCCGAATATTTGGCCAAACTATTTGGCTCGATTAACGCACGTACGAAAATTGGCGCGCAAACCGCATTATGGCAAGGATCCCGCTCTCTATTGGCTCGCTATCACTACGCTTCGCCAATCGCGTTAATTCTTGGCAGTTGTAGCGGACAGACAAGAGTGTCATGAAAGTATGTGATAAATGATATCAAATGTGAATAACAATGAAATGATCTACACGTGTAAATAACGGAAAAAGAACAGAGAAGGATCGCGAAGTGAAAATGTGAAAATAAATATGAAATTGAGTTGATAACATAATCGAACAAGTCTAGGCAGCTTATTGGCACGAAATTCGCGGCCGTCAATGCCAAACAATTGTTGTCATAGACTTCGGAAAGCTAAATGCTTGTAATGAAAGTCACTTAGCGTGCACGGGCGAAAGCCTGGGGCCGTTCGGGCTATCAAGCTGTCTCGAATCTGTGAAATCATAACTGTGACTTATATCGACGTCCTATCTGTCTCTTTTCTCCGTTATCACCAGGCTGAGTCACGTAATTGTAAAATGGGAACTCTACGACGGAAAAGTGACGAATCGAAAGTATCGTGAGCGCGTATTATGATGTATGCACAGGCATACATGGATTAGAGCGATAGAGGAAAGAGAAAGGGAAGAGCAAAGACGAGCGCTTAAAAAGAAAGATAGGCAGGGTCAGACCCTCAGATGTGCGAGGATTCTCCAACGAATAGGTGTGTACGTGTGCTGATCTTTGTAATTATAAATTGTGAATACATGGGACTAATATTATTTTCTTTTTTATTTTGTGCATGTTACAAGTTATAAATAAATATAAACAAACAACACTAACTCGATAACAGTAAATCTAAATACCAAAACGATTAATTTACTGTGTTTTTGTTATTTCTTACTCCTGTTTTTAGGTATTCAGTATTCGGCCGAATAGCGATTAAATATTCGGTATTCGCCCGAATAGTGAAAAATAGGCCGAATACCAAATAGTAACCGAATATTCGTTACATCACTACTCATTATGTTTTATTTTATATAATTTATCATTATAAAACAATCACAGAATTATAATTAAGTAATCAATATTAATTTATATAAAAACTTTCCTGGTTTTCTTTTTAAATCACTTAATTGATAAATGAAAAATATTTTTAAAAATATTACAACAATTTTTTCCTGTGATGAAATAATAATGTTAAATTTTCTAACCTTATAATTTTTATAAAAAGTATTCAAGAAATTGAAGTCAGACAATCTACTGTAACCATTATAGAAACTTAACTCTTAAATATCATTTAGAATAAATGTGCAATGTAATATTCAGACTTCTCAAATTATTAGACAGTTATGATATTTCATACAAAAATTATTAATGCTATAACAATGTCTGTAAACTGCAAATTATAAATATGCCAATTTTTAAATTTATTATTTCTATATGTTTTTTATGATTTATGATTAACAGAGAATAATTTTTTTAGTATAAAATATTTTTTTCCTAAATTCTAAGATGCATTTCTTTTTTACCCATTTTTGCTTGTATGAAATAGAGCCTCTTAGAAGCAATGACATCTTACATTTGCAGTTCAAGAGCCAGTGGCAGCTCATGGTTGTCTAATGTGGGAGTGCTGAGTAACAATTATAACTTTACATAACAAATATATAAATATAATATATTGCATTCATAAAACATATTTTTTAAATTTAATTAAAATAAATTAATTTAAGATTTTAAATTTTTGTCTTTTTCATATTAACATTTACAAGCCACAGATACCCTGCCCTCTGCTTTGACCAGTAACTAATTTCTCTGCACGTGCTCTTGTAACAGCACTGTTACTGTCTCAATTGTTTCTTTTGTATCACAAAATGAGGTGGCTAAACAAGTCAGAATGTTCTGAGTGGGAGATGGCCTTGGAAGATGACACTGCAGTGTTAAGAACATTCTCTAGGAGGGTGCATGGCACAAGCCCTAACAGAATTGTTTTTATTTCGCAAACTGTTTTGATCAGCATTGGATTTAATTAAATAAAATTTAATTTCAATTGCATAAAATTATTTATATAATTATTATTAAATAAAAATCAAGGCATTATTTTGTGATTTTATTTTTCTTTGGAGTTCTACAATGCTTATCACAAACTGCTGCTGATAAAAACAATCAGCAGTCATCACAAGTAGACCATGTAATGCATTATGCCCAGTGATAGATTCTTTGACTAGGCTGCTCAATAGTCGCAGTAATTCAAATAATTTTTGCTAATACGAGCATTTAATTTAAACTTCTTAACATTTAAAATGCCTTCATGATGATATTAGGATGCGGCATTATATAGGACACTTATTGTATATGTAGAGGAGCATAAAAGAGAACAGCCAAACAAATTATTTTACGGCATTAGTATTGTTTTCCCCTTTTTTTTTTAATACAAAAATTAAAACATTCCAATCATAATTAACATTTTGGAATAACAGCAACGGTAGAACATAAGATATTTAAACAAAAACAGGCGCGTCTACAATGCGCATGCGTTAGACACCTCTATTTGTACAGCTATATAAAACATTGCAACTAAATCCACAATATAGAGGCATCTAACGCATGCGCATTGTAGACGCACGTGTTTTTGTTTAAATATCTTCTTATGTTCTACTGTTGCTGTTATTCCAAAATGTTAATTGCTTTCCCTAATTTTTAAATTGACTTCAAAATTGTAGCATGTCTTAGAATTGAGGTAATATGCTATTTTATCTCTATGAAATTTCTTAACATAATTATATTAAGATTTTTCATCTAAATCAATAATTACTTACTTTAGTTAAAAAAACTTTATCAATAATAGACTGAAGAACAACAAATCCACTACTGTAATAACTCAAAGCTGGACAACTGCTTACAGGAAGCGAAAAAAACCCAGGGTGAATATTTCTGCAATTTTCTAAAATGCCATATAAAAAAAAATTACATTTTGATAATTTAAATAAATTTGTTAATAAAATTTGTAAAAAACTAAACAGTTAAAAATTGTAAAAAAAAATTCAAAATAAAACCAAAAATAGATATTTTTATGGTAAACTATTTTCTATCTTCTCTTTTTGTAATTGTTGTATCAAAGCAAATTATTTTTATCATCTTTATTAGATCAAAATTTTATTTTATTTCTTGTCTTTATTTATATAATAAAATTTATAAAATATAAATAGTAAACTTTTGTAGCAATATATAACATTTCAATTATACATAATTAAATAAACTAATTAAAAGTCAAATTGAAATAATCCAAAATAACTTTTTTGTAATAATAATTAATAGAAGGTAAATCAGTTGAGCTACAGTTGATGTTTTTTTTAAATTACCCCATGAAATATTATCTCATATTCATTAGTGTAACTTTAACATCAACAGTTTATAATAATGGTGCTGAAAGCTTATCATATTACCTTTCAAATATAATTAATGATACAGGACAAGTTTCATTACTAAATTATAAATAACTTTTTTAATAATGATTTATAAAAGGGTATTACAGAATATACATCATTATTAAAGATATTGATTGATATATATTTTTAAATATTTAATGTAAGAATAATTAATTGAATTACCTGGTGATCCATATTTATCACTTGCACGAGGTAATTTATTAGAAGGATATCGCAGTTTATAAGAAGAATTCTTTTCTGGATTTTCAGTAAAAACAATGCCAACTGCAAAGGCACTTGAATTACGATTAAATTCTTCTTCTAATTCAGTTTCATTATCAAACCAATGAATTTTAACAGGTGGATATAAAGATAATTCTTTTATGACAGAATCCATTACTTTTATTGTATTGTTATTGTAGGGAGCAACACCAAAATTGTTTAAACTGTAGTATGGCAAACCATGTTCAAGTGAAGCATTTCCAAAAGGATAAACTTCTCCTTTGTATGTCGTCTGTCCAATCCGAAATGTTGAAATAGTTAATGTCATAACTATAGGCATGAAAAATTCCTAAAAATTAAAATAGTTATTAATTTTAAAATCTATCAAAAATCAAATTTATTATATTTTACTAATTTTGTTGAATATATTACAATTAATGAAATGAAATAAGAAAAATCAATAATTCATTCAAACATGAAATGTCTAAATTAATGATATTACTCAAAAGTAAAGCTGATTTGAAACCAATTACATGGATATGATCTTATTTTGAAAAGACTGAAAAAATTATTTTTTGTTCATTCATAATATTAAAAAATAGAATTGATGATTTATAGATTTAACTGAGCAGAAACTACAGAAAAAATGATAATCTATTAAAATATTAAAAAATTAAATAAACAGATTTCATTGTTATAATTTAGCATCCACATGTCTCTAACCAAAGAAATGAAACCAAAATATTCAAAAGAGAATAACGTTAAATATGTTTGAACACATACAAGACACCTACACCAACATACTTCAAATTACTAATTTTTATGAACATTTTCATCTGAATATTTCATCTTCAGATATATATAACACAGAACAAAACAGACAAATTAAAACTGAACAAGGTTTTATGAACACATTACAAATTCAATTTAAAATTATTTCTCAAACAAATTAAACCAATTCCAATCTAAAATGCCAGTACCAAAAAAATTTGATTTTGGAAAAATATACCCAAAGGAGGTCTTAGGTGTAGACTGAAAACGTTAGTAACAGTTTTCTCATTTAAGAACAAGGCCTACATAAGGTTGTTAAACTTTCTATTAATTTTACTGTAGTTTATTTCATTATATTGGGTTCATTTTACAATATATTTATCTCTAAACTGAATTTTGTAATATTTTATACATATATATTATGTTTAATAGGCAGTTAAAATACACAACTGTTTGCATTCAAAATCAAATTTCAACTTTTTGAAAAAAAATGCTGTAAGAATGTTAATTTAAACTTTCAGTTTGAATCTTCTAGTTTATATGTTAAACCTGATGCAGACCTATAAAAAGAGTCAAAATTTGTTTAAATAAATTATAGTGTTGGTGGAAAAAGTATTAATATGTTGTTCAAGCTAAATTTGTTTCAGCTTAGAAGTATTTTTACATCATTTATGTTATTTATTATTGCTAGATGATACTAACATTAGAAATTGAAAATTGATTATATTAAAATGTGTGATTTAATATATTATTATTTCTGATTCATCATTTATGTAAATAATTTGATCTACAAATGTTATTTATACAGTAGTAACATGACTAATAATTTGAAAACTGAACAATCAAATTGCTGCTGTTTGTTTATTATTTTAAACAATCCCTTTTTTTCAAATACAGTATTTTATTATTCAGATATTTGAATCTATCTGAGAAAGACTTAGAGAAATTAGCAATAACTGAATAAAATCTTTTTTTCAAAAATTTCAAGTTTATAAAATAATTTATTCTAATTTTGGATAACTTCTAAATTTTATATATTGTCTTTGAATTAGTTTCTCGTTATTGGAAAAATTTAAATATTTACATTAAAATGAATTATAAAAAAGTCAAATTTTAGTTTATAACTAAAAATAAGCCGTTTGTTAAATGCTAGTACCATCTAACGGTAAATTTGTATAATTTCTTGAATTAGAATAATAAATGATTAAAATAATAATTTAATAGGTGAGTAAATTATTTTAAAAATTATAAATTATAAAAACTTTTTACCAATAATGTCTTTGATTTCATTTTTTTCTTTAAGAGGAGATTCCTCCAGAGAAGTGTTTTAAATTGATCACAGAATCCTACTGTCATTTTTTCACTTTCTGCAAAAGTCAGAATTTATATATTATTTATAATAAAAAAATGTATATAAAATAATATAAAATAAAAAACATTTTTTTATANGAAATGAAACCAAAATATTCAAAAGAGAATAACGTTAAATATGTTTGAACACATACAAGACACCTACACCAACATACTTCAAATTACTAATTTTTATGAACATTTTCATCTGAATATTTCATCTTCAGATATATATAACACAGAACAAAACAGACAAATTAAAACTGAACAAGGTTTTATGAACACATTACAAATTCAATTTAAAATTATTTCTCAAACAAATTAAACCAATTTCAATCTAAAATGCCAGTACCAAAAAAATTTGATTTTGGAAAAATATACCCAAAGGAGGTCTTAGGTGTAGACTGAAAACGTTAGTAACAGTTTTCTCATTTAAGAACAAGGCCTACATAAGGTTGTTAAACTTTCTATTAATTTTACTGTAGTTTATTTCATTATATTGGGTTCATTTTACAATATATTTATCTCTAAACTGAATTTTGTAATATTTTATACATATATATTATGTTTAATAGGCAGTTAAAATACACAACTGTTTGCATTCAAAATCAAATTTCAACTTTTTGAAAAAAAATGCTGTAAGAATGTTAATTTAAACTTTCAGTTTGAATCTTCTAGTTTATATGTTAAACCTGATGCAGACCTATAAAAAGAGTCAAAATTTGTTTAAATAAATTATAGTGTTGGTGGAAAAAGTATTAATATGTTGTTCAAGCTAAATTTGTTTCAGCTTAGAAGTATTTTTACATCATTTATGTTATTTATTATTGCTAGATGATACTAACATTAGAAATTGAAAATTGATTATATTAAAATGTGTGATTTAATATATTATTATTTCTGATTCATCATTTATGTAAATAATTTGATCTACAAATGTTATTTATACAGTAGTAACATGACTAATAATTTGAAAACTGAACAATCAAATTGCTGCTGTTTGTTTATTATTTTAAACAATCCCTTTTTTTCAAATACAGTATTTTATTATTCAGATATTTGAATCTATCTGAGAAAGACTTAGAGAAATTAGCAATAACTGAATAAAATCTTTTTTTCAAAAATTTCAAGTTTATAAAATAATTTATTCTAATTTTGGATAACTTCTAAATTTTATATATTGTCTTTGAATTAGTTTCTCGTTATTGGAAAAATTTAAATATTTACATTAAAATGAATTATAAAAAAGTCAAATTTTAGTTTATAACTAAAAATAAGCCGTTTGTTAAATGCTAGTACCATCTAACGGTAAATTTGTATAATTTCTTGAATTAGAATAATAAATGATTAAAATAATAATTTAATAGGTGAGTAAATTATTTTAAAAATTATAAATTATAAAAACTTTTTACCAATAATGTCTTTGATTTCATTTTTTTCTTTAAGAGGAGATTCCTCCAGAGAAGTGTTTTAAATTGATCACAGAATCCTACTGTCATTTTTTCACTTTCTGCAAAAGTCAGAATTTATATATTATTTATAATAAAAAAATGTATATAAAATAATATAAAATAAAAAACATTTTTTTATAGACTATAGAAAAAATATTTTTAAATAAAAAGAGTATTTTCATATTTTTTCTAATAAATTCATAAAAATAAAACTAATTATATTTAAGTATATAGTCTAAATTTAAAAAAAAAAACCAAAAATCAATGTAGAAACAAGTATCATTTTACACTGAAGTTACACTGTGGTTTTCAATCATTTTCAAAGATAGCACCTAACTGGCTTACTTTATGTGTTTGATGCATTAATGCACAATAATTTATTTAAGCTTTAAGTAAACAATTTGAATTTCTGGGAATTTTGAAACACCCTCAGAAGCTTATGACATCCTAGTGTGTTATGAAACCCAGACTAATATCAAAATTCTAAATAATTAAAATAATATTCCAAAATTAATCATGCAGAAAATATTACTATCCTTTATATAAAAATTTAACATTTATTTTCTGATTTTCAATTTTTAATTAAAAAGTTTCAGTATGAAATGTAAAATTGTAATCTTAACAATATAACAATATCATTAACTAAGTAAATTTATTATATAAATTTGACTGTGGACAACATTAAATGATTAGCTCCCTTTTTAAAATGTTTATATAATTTGCACCTCTGTAAAAAGGTAAGTTATTTGAGATTCCTCTCCATCCTGGAACAAACTTGGAATAGTTCAAAAAAGAGATGCCAACTAAAGTTTGTATAATTGAAGTCAAAGAAAACAGGCATACAAGACAAAATTTAATGTGTTATAATCATCATACAAACATAAAATTATAAAGTTTTTCGAATAATTTTGAATAAAATTTTATTCTTGGATAAAATATGTTAGATTTAGTTAGAATTCAATCAAATAATCAGTCTTTTCTCATAAACTGATAAATTATAAATACTCTGAAATATAGTTATGATTTTAATTTGTTAGTTTAAGTCATTTAACAATTCTCATTATTAAAATTTTTTCATGCAGCTAAATAAAAATAATATATCTTTAATTTTTATCATTTCAAGAATTTCAATAATTTAACATTATCAAATTATTACATCACCTTTTCATAAGTGATCTATTCTGAAAAATATAATTCTATATATTTTAAAATTTCATAATGAATAGCATTATACTTGTTTATCCTATTTTGTAAAAAATAAAAAACAAACAAAACTTTCTGGAAAAATATTTTTTCAATTTTATATTATTTGATAACACTACTCAACTAATAAAAAAATAAATTTATGCCACTGATATTTTAGTGACTATATAGGGTCTATAAAGCATCCTTTTTACAAATATGGCAAGCATAATTTTCCAGCACATATCTAGAATATAATTTTTATTTGTATTTTATCTGAAAAATTTTTATTTTATTGTAAATATAGGTCAAAATAAGAGAGAGAAATTCAACTTATATCAAACCGAAAAATTCTTTTATTTACAAAAATATATATGAAACTACATTTATGCTCAACCTGCTGTCGATAACATTTTTGCAAATGCTTATTCTTGTTTATACTGCATATCACTTTCTCTTATAAGGAACCAGCAATAGTCTTCCATTATTCTATGATTTCACCTGCCTTGATATGATTGTTAGAAAATCTTAGTAAAACCTCTCCTCTCACTCATCACTGACAGCAACCAAATTTTTAGGGGAAAATTTTAAATGCAAAGCTAAAAAGTATAGTTTAAGGGACAAAGAGTATGCAATTTAATAAATGTGCTTAACTTATTTATTAGGTTACATTAAATCACATCCATTTCCTAGTGTATGAAAAAAAGTGTTATTTTCTTTCTTTCTTTTCTTTCTATAGTCTGATTCCATTCATTCACTTTTCTTCTTTTTTTGGTTATAGCAAATCCTGCTAAAACATTCACTATATGTATTTCATGTCCAAAATCTAAAAGTTCTTAATATAAGTCATTGTATAATTGAATTTGATTTGGTCTGGTAATCATCAAATTTCTCTTCTACCTTCATGATATTTAACATTACCAAATATACAGTTCAAAACTGGCAACGTTTCTTTCATTCTTCCTTAATGAGAATCTTTTGTATCCAAATAAGTTTCTCAAAAAAACTTTGATGTCAATGAAATATATTTATCCACCATATTCTTTCTGTTAATAACTTTTTTCTTGAGGCAACCACTCTACTTTCCAATACATCCTTACTCTCTTTACTTTTCCATCATATTATCTATTATTATTAATTCTAGAACTCAAGCAAGTGAAACAGTCTGCAATTTCCACTTTACTCTCTCATTAGCAGCAAAATCTGTCAAGATTGAATTTAACAAGATTAAATGATTAATATTTAATCTTGTTAATGTTAATCATTAAATCATTTTACACTTTTTGTTATTTGATGAACTTTTCTCATTTATTAGTATATAATTGTTGACTTTTCCATTTTCAAGAAATATTAATTTTGATATTATTTTAAAAAAATTACAAATTAGGATTCATAATGTGTTCAAAATTTCTTTAAAAAAATATTCTATCTTATTTTTTTTTTCAATTTATAAAATTATTATACGTTGTAAGTTTATTAATAAATTATGTATAAATTGAAGGGCGAGCGACAAACAATATATTTAATTAAAAGCAGCAAAGAGCGTGTAGGTGTATTGAACATTCAAAACACACACAAGATTACGAGACAACCAATAGGATGGAAAAACCCATCGAAGCACGAAGTAACGATTACCGTTATTGGCTAAAATTTTGACATTTTAAAATTCGAATGAAAACAATATCATATGTGTTTCGTGTGTTTAAACTATATATTTTTTTAAACAAATAAAAGTAATTTTACATAAAATAAGTTTAAAAATCGCTATTTATAAGCCCAAAATGAATACGATCTTTATAAATTATTATAAATCTATATATTTAACAGTTAATATATAAAAATCAATAAAATAAATTGATACATACGTTTAAAGGCAGGAAAAAAGATACGAAAGGTGTTTTGTAAGGCGTGAAACAGTCGTTATCGTTTCATGAAGTTGCCGGTCGAGCCGATGACGACTTTCATGAATGTGACGAAATCATAGATTATCGTAATTCTCGTATTCTGTTAACACAGAAAAGAACTATGACGCAAGCGTAGAACACGAGAAAGGTTTGCGCGTGCGCTTTCGCTGAAGGGTGTTTTACACTGTAAACATCTGAATTTTTGTGTATCTTCGTAAATGAACATCCATTTTCTTCGAATTAAAGAACAAACAAAAATAGATACACTAATTTACTGATGATCGGATGACCCAGCGGCTGAGGTGGCAGTATACCACTTTGGGGACCAGGGAACGAATCCGACAGGTCGAAAAAACCCCAGGAATTTTTTGGGGCCAGTCCCTCATCACCCGGTCTGACTGGATCCATAAAAGAGGCTCTCTTAGTGACCACAGGACGGAGTTAAAAAAACACTAATTAATTAATTCAAAAAATAGTCTATTTGATGGCAAATTCACAAGCATGCTTGTGTTCGTTTATGTTACTTATCGGAACGTATAAATACTGGTATATAAATTCTCGAATTTGGATTATATTCACTCCGTTTTAAGCAAAAAAGTCGGTTAAAAACATGTTTATCTCATTAATTGTATAGATAAACGTTTGTAAATTATTTTAAAGCATTTATTAAGATTTAATGAACAATATTACATATACTATTAATTATAATTCATCGTCAAAACTGACCAGAAGAATGGAGCGTTGCCTTTTTTTTTTTTTTTTTTTTTTTTCTTCTTTTAGTACATTAAATTAATATATAATTACATGACATAAATTGTTAATCAATAGAAAATTAAATAAGAAAAAAGTTAAATATAATTAAAATAAAATATTTAATTCACGATTAGACTGGAAATAATTAATTAACTTTATCCATTCTTGTTGATTTTACCCAAGGTCTTAGATAATCTAAGACCTTGGATTTTACCTGCTTGAGATTCATCCGTTGTGCATTGGAAAGCAACAGTTCTTTACGAATATGTCTGAAATAAGTAAATATTTTTTAAGCGCGTAAAATATAAAATCTAAAAATAATAAAATTAATACATAAATTAACAATTACATTTGTTATTCGTTAAAAATTTAAAAGAGGTACAGAGACAACTTTTAAAACTTTAAATGTGTTAAATTTATATAAAATTATACAAGGAAAGTTTAAAAAAATATTTTTATTTTTTAAGTTTTGAAAATTTATGATGAATTTACAAATGAAAACAACTATGATGAGATAAGATAAACATATCGGGTCAAAGCACTCGTGAGAATTTCTGAAGATCGATCTGTTCTCGAATCCGGACTCTCCAGAATATCAACTAATTCAATAAAAGCGTTAGCCACCGCTTGAAATTCTTAATAATTTTATGAATATCGGAATTCCTTTTTAAATAAAGATGTGGCTGTAATCTTTAAGAACCTTAAATGTTTTTATTAAAGTATTCATAAATCCAAATACCATTCAAATATCACATCATATCATATCATATCATATCATATCAATAGCCAAATTTGTGGTATATTCGAAATACAGTGCAAGCAGACTAGCCTCTCGTTGCATGTATATATCTATATGACTGTTATCAGAGGAAAAATATACGAGTAAGTACCACCAAATATATTTTGACAACCGAATGGCAAAGCGGCTTGGTTGCAACTTATCGCTCTGGGAGACCCAGAATCGAATCCGGATCGGAGACTACCTGGGAAAACCCAGGTATTCTTGAGGGTAATCCGCCCGGATATGTCAGACTCCGTCCCTCATCGCCAGGCCCATTATGGGCTGGCTAAAAAAAAAGGGTTATCTTAGTGCCTACAAAGAAAGAGTTTTTAAAAACAAATAGTTGAAATACATAGACTGATAATTTCAAATTCACACGGGAGAACTTTCTGATTAGAACCAATGATTTGTATGAATTCTTTTAATTAAAACTATATAATGAAGCTTACTTTATACAATATACATTTATCAGAATATATATTTAGATATAGGCCTATAGGTTTATCTGTTATACATTAAACACCAACATAAGTTCACATTTTATTGAGACTTCCTGTAGAATAAACAATGTTAAACTAATTAGACTTGTTACTTAGAAGGAAAAAAATTTAATTCCGGTTGCTCCATAAGTGATATAAATTATGGAAAATTGAATAAATAACACGTCCATTATGTGCTCCTCTTCCGAAAGTGTATATTAATCGATAATAATAATAATAATGCATAGCATAAATATTTTATAACGTTTTCTACGTCAAATTATTAAAATTAATTCATTTTCGAAATCTTCTGGTGCCAATTTGGGGGATATGTATTTAACACATGATTTATTGACAAGATATTGATGAAAATATACCGTATATCTCAATTAACCTGTTAGATCTAATCTATTCTACATGTAGACATACTTCTACATGACATATAGAAAAATATATACTACAGAGAATGCCTGAAAAACATCTCATAATCATCGAATCGACGTTTGAGAGATTGCTGCGTAAAATCCTAATATAAATATTAATCGAAAAGTTGATGTTTACCGATTGACGGAATGTTACCACTTTTAAAAAATGTATAAACAATATTTAACATATACAGCGTATAAAATAGTAATGTATAAGTTATATTTTTAAAAAATGTTTGAAGATGCGGATGAATAGAGATGAGAAGATTACATGGAATCGATCGATCCCTATAGGTTAAAAATAACTGATAAATTAGTTAAGGGAATTATTAGTAAATAGTACCTTAGAAGAGATATAGAAGAGTAGTAGAAACAAAATTAGAGACAAGAAGAGCAGTGATAGAAAAAAGTAATTTTTTTTTTGCTTCACTTGGCTTGTTCCATAAAGCAATATAGGGATTCTTTTAAGGTATAAATAATGTTGACGATTACTATTTTTCACTTGCATCGAATTTAAAATGACTTTGAATGAACGTCGAACAGCCATACTTTAAGTATATAAAATAGGATAGAGTTTATTTGAAAAAAAAATGCCTATGAATTAATAATTTATAATTTAGATAAGTTTACGTTGACAAATTACTTTGAATATAGAAGTTATGTGAAAATTTTAAACAAAATTTAATGAATTGTTTATTTGATTTCTTATTTTTTAGGAAGAGGAAGATTCATTCCATTGTTAAATAGAAAAAATACAAGCCAATTTTTACAAAATTAATGATAAAAACAGCAGAATTAATTATAATTTTTTTTGGTTAATTAATTTATTTCACCATAATTTAGTGTTTACAATGACTAACTTGTAAGTGATTTATGAACCATCCTGTAATTTTTGTTTTCAACTTTTGCCTGGGGTAAAAATATCGTTTATAGCATGATGTAGACAAATCGAATTTTATAACCTTGAAGAAACAAACAAGATTTCCGTTTTTATTAAGTTGAAAAATAACAGCAAATACTATTTGATTGTCTCAGAATTTCATCTATTTTGATAAAATTATTTATTTAAAGAAACTCAAAAATTTACATTTGATTATTTTTTCTAACTCTTCATAAAAGTAGCCTACACACAAAAATAAAATTTTAAAAACAATCGATAAGAGACATTATGGAAGATTATTTTATCTAATTTGATTATTCAGAGAAATTGAGTCTCTCCATTAAATCATTTAAATCACCCGCTTCCGTGTGAATAAAAACCTTGTGTAACAGCTGATGGAAAGACTATTGACGTCATTTATTAATGATTACGTATGATTAATAGTGAATTGTTCATTAGATTTTTCTGGCTGATTCATTGTTTTTCAAGTTACGTAAATCGTGAAACTTTCATCTTTATCTTATTATTGACGAAATATGTGGATTTTCCTGAACCCAAGTTCACTAGCATTAATACGTTTATACACTTGATTTACTTTACAGTGATGACGAACCCGTGATCCAGGGGTCATTCACTAATGATCTTGAAAATTTTATAGAAAGCCACTAATTATAAACTTTAGATAGAAAAATTATCATCAAAGAAACAGCAGATTTTGCCATTAAACGAAATATTTATTTCCATTATAATCGCATCATCTTTACACTTATATAGAGTTTATTGTTGTTTTATTTAATTAATTTATTTATTTTTTTGAACGAGACAAAAAATCAGTTAGAATTAGTTTCGAAAATCAAATATATAAATTAGTTTTAGACTCAAGCACTTGAATCTGCCATAAGAGTAATGGATCTGTGAGATCGGGGGTTCCGGTCTTGTCCGTCTCATGGAGATGGCCGTTAAAGTGTCATTGAGAGTTGATTAGTACGCAAATACACTTCAACTTTCTCCGATTGTCGTCAAGATTCCTGATACCACTTAGTCTAGTTCGCGGACTAAAACGCAAAATAAAGTATAATTTGTATTACCGGGATATAGGAGGGTTGCTTTAAACATGAACAACATTAGATACGTGAGTTTGTGATAACGTGGGTCGACGATGGAGTTAGGCATTAAATCAATCTAAACGATAGTCTAGAATATAACTACATATTTATTAGACGAAATTATAACTATTATAAATACAAATAAGTGACGACAATGATAAACACAAATGCTGTACAGTTGTTCCCAAGCTTCACCATCAAATTTGTGAGGATATCTAATTTTAAATCTCTAAGTTAATCCTGACGAGAGAGAGTTTACATAAACAAATGATATTACCTATAATGGAGAGACCTTGGGAACAACTGGAGGTTGAGAACTGGGAGAGTGATGGCACTCCTCAAAAGCGCCAAAACGAGAGCGATGGCTTTGACGTCCAATGTAAACGTCAGACGAGAGCGGTGGCTAAAGCCTTGATCACTGCATAGGAGGTTTCAAAACTAGAGCAAGTTGGAAAGTGACTTTCACCTTTTATACTAACCTTCATCCAACATCATCATCGGAATATCACGCCATGCTTCCGACATAATGAAGTTGGACGGTCTTGCGGCAATTTAGGAGGAACTAAACCGTTATTCTCCGTAAATCAGAGGAAGTTCTTCCTTTTTCAAAGTTAGATAATTTTTCTATCAAGTTTAAATTGATATATAGTAATTTTAAAACATTATTTTAACAAATATCTCCCTTAACTCCAGATTCTCATATACCTAATAACCTATTTATTCTCACGTTTACAGTCTATTTTATAACTTATTTTCTAGAGAATTATTAAATAACTTTTAAATTAAGTATAAATTATATTCATGACGCAGAATTAATAAACAAACGTTTAATAAATTCGACTAGATAAATTAATTTCCATAACCATTTCGCAAGTCATATGTTATGCTGCGAAAATCATGTAACTCTCAAAACTCTTTATCTATTTTCGTTTCCGCTAAACCGTAGCGATATCACAGCAGGCAGATATATGAAAAAATTAATTTAAAATTGTATGTAGAATTGAGATATAATTTCTTAGTAAGTAATAAACTTTTACATCGAAACTGCAGGAATGAGTTTTATCATAGATAAATTGTTACGGTATAAATTTATGTATAAAACTGTTACACAATTAGTAAGTTACTATTGTATTCGTTATCACTATAAAAAATTAATTTGCATATAAAGAATATAATTTCCTTTTTGATTAAAACATTCTTCTGAAGTAATATTTTTAACATGACTCTACTAAATCAATTTCTATCCTTAACTTTTCATCCAATGAGACTACTATGCTGATGGAAAATTCGATTAAAATTTCATTGAAAAATACTATATCCTTTTAGAAGAATATCAAAATTATAAAACATTAAATTAGTGTTATATTATTTCTTCTGTGCTTAATGAAAAATTATGTGTAAGAAGATATAGGCCTATATTAATTAATTAAATTAATTAATAATAGAAAAAAAAGGTATAGGCCTACACGTTGTTCTATATCCAGAAGTTTATGTAAAATACAACATAAAAGAAAGTTAATAGACTTTTGGTTGACTCTATACTGTATGTTATGACTGTATAGAGTTTTATTTAAGATTTTCGTTTATAAGGTAATTTTATTTTTAAAAAATAATATAAAATTATATTTTATGTAAGAAATTAATTATTGGGGACAGATTTAAAAATTTTACAGCTATTGCTTAATGTATAACAGGAAATAATCAATACCGTGATAAAATACATAATACAATACAATGAAATAGTGTATTAAATATATTACAAAAATAACTTTAATTAGAAACTCTTTGTGATTAATTAATATATCGATTGAGAAGATTATTTTAAAATATTTTATAAGCAGCTTATTTTCCTAATGAAAATTCTAAATTATATAAATAATTTTTTCAAATAAAATTAATAATGGATTATAGGTCTACAATTTTTTTCAAATTGCAACCCAATAAGAATTGAAAACAAAACTTCTATTAAGTTAAACGAATAAAATTATTAATTAATTAAGTGATTCTACGTATTTATAGTTTTACTTGTTCGTAATTAATAATATATTTGATTAATTAATATCAAAGTGAATTTATTATAAAAAAGATGAAACAAAATTTTGTATTTTTCTTCTAATAGACTTTTTTTTAAATGAATTTCTATAGAAACATTTGGAAAAAGCGTGCAGATTCATTGATTTTAAGGTTCAATAGAGAAAATAAAATTCTAGTAGAAAAGAGCTTATTTTTATCATGTTGATCATTTCCGGAGAGAATTATTTACCATTTCCGTTAATCTTCAGAAACAAATTTTTTCCCCTCTCTTTTTTAAATTAATATTTTATTAATATAAAGTTTAATTATGATTTCTTCCCACGATACTTATGTAAATATATTTGAAATAAAAATCCGATAACAATAACTGAATGATAGCATTAATGTCTGTAAAGAAGTCTGTAAAGTGTAAAGAAGTCGGTTAACTTTTTTACTTTTGATCCTTAATTATGAATACGGCCATAAGTAATTATGAATACGGCCGTAAGAATACTGTAATAAACGAATAAGATTATAAGAAACCCGATTAATTACCCACATTAATCGAGTTGGCTAAATATACTCTGCATCATAGTGCACGACAGAGAGGTGGGGAGTCAAAAGTGGCTTAAAAACTGTACATGTAAATAATGGGACGGCCTCAAAATTATGAATTAAAAATAAATAAACGAGTAATAATAATGACAAAAAAATCTTTATTGTGATCGTTTTGCTTAATAGAATTGGTTTCGCCAGCCTTTAAATAACAAATAATAGTTTACTTGATAATTATTGATTAATTCATAATTAAAAATTCCAGCAACGAGTTGCGTAACTTTTCCGGCTGTTGAAAAATAACTTTTACGATATATTTTTAATCATAATAAATAAAATTGTGTGTGGTGTCATCTGTTAGGAGATTTTGTTATAAAAACTTTCTATATTTTTAATTAATTATCATAAAATGGCAAAACTCCCAATTTTGAGGGTAAAGATAAGTTTTATGGAAAGAAAAAAGAAAGTAAATGCTAATAGCGAATAACATCTTCATTTAGACAATCCCTCACGAGATATGACCCATGACATCCCTTTATCGCCTCAACCCCTCTACCTATACCACCAAAATTTATTAGCATAAATGCCACTTACATATAAGCTATCTGGCCAAATTTCGTTTCTTTATCATTATCCCAATCTGAGATATTGGACGAAATAGAAGCCAACACAAACACAAACACACGCACATCCACGTGAATTTTTAAAACACTATGTTATCCTATGACGTGTATACGTTATAATACGTCATTTTTATATATTCTCTATGTTAATTTTCGTATTGTGTTCAACGTTTAATATCAAAATTATTGATTAAAAGATTGTAATTTAGTGTCAAGGCCATTTTAGTTTGGAAGTAGCTTTAAAAAATAATAAGACTCGAAATTTTATTGTATTAAAAAAACCCGTTAAGGACTTATCCCGAGATAACGCTTGATTGGTTTTTAATTTGATTTGTTTATCAAATTTAATTCATCGTTCTAAAGTTATAGTGCACGGATTTTACTTCGGTAAAGTTATTTAAAGCTAGTTTCTGATGTCAAAAACGACCTCCAATAGTTTTTTAATTTTTTTAATTAATATATTTTATTATATATACATTTAATTAAGTCGGGGGGATCGAAAATCGTAATAAAAATTTTAATTTTTTAAAAATATTTAAAAATATACGGCCAGTTAGTATTCACTCTACTATAAACCCTTCTCCTTCTGAGACTTCTATGAGAATGTCCCGGGAAATCCAACACCAGCTGTTCTCAAGGTCATCCAGCTGTAAACACAATGACTTATCGGTGTCAGATTTCACAGAAAGGCGAGACAATGGAAAATAAAGTTTGAAGCTTTTTCTTCAAAATTAACGCATTTCTTTCGTTTTTTTTCAGTTTTAAATATTTTTTATGTTTAATTACATTAATATCAAAAATTGGAAAGTCGCAAGGGAGTTAAATTAATGAATAATACATGTTTAATTACGTAGGAAAATTATTGTTTCAAATATAAAATATAATTTAAAACTTTTATTTATAAGTTATATTTTTTCGAATCGCTTATTTTTTTACTTCTTTCTGCTCTCTTATAAAATTGAAAGACCAACAAGAAAGAAGAACGAAATCGACTCCATTAAGAAGTAAATTTGTACTCTTCTCGACGATTCCGTAACCTAGCAACGTTATTGACTGATAAAAGTAGTTACGTATAAAAGTCATTTATTGGATGTTTTGTTGTCAATAATCTTTTCCATTTTGAGATATCAATAATAAGTCGTCTTGTTGCCTCATTTATACATTTCTATATGACTCTATATTACAAAGTCTACGTCTAATCATCCGTTAGATAAAAAGAAACGAATCGGTGACGTCCGGATTACGTGTCCTGAATACTTAACTTATTAAAGGTATTCACGACACGAAGATTACCGTCAGACCACTTACCAGTAACAATAGTAATGTCACTGCCAGTGACGAAGTCTTTATGGGTCGGCGGGTTGGTTGTTATGAAATAACTATCGTGTAATGATTTTTATTTAAAATATAATGGATAGCAACAGTTCTCTTTCAGCAAAAACCTACCGTATATTTAATCTAATAATAATAATAATAATATATAGCATTTCGTAGTAGCTATGGTTATTGAATTTTACCACTATTAGAATCAATTAATACATAAGTTATATAATAAAATAAGAAAACGTTCAAAAAATAATATAAATTGTAAAAATACATTAAAAATTACTAGAAATTCGCTCAAATAACTACGCACAAGAATGAAAATGTGCATCAATTATTAATGCAAATTGGTGAATGGTAGTAATTGTAGAGTTACTACATGTACAAAAGACTAAAAAGTAGCTATGTTTTTTTACTAAATTCGTCGTAGAAAGTTTAGAAAAACCAAATATGCATGAAATTTTGCGTTAAATTTGGAAAACCCCAACAGAAACACATCACGATAAAACAAACTTTCCGGAAGCAAATTCTAAACTCGAGTTGTTGGGAATGGCATAAGAAGAGAAACGAAAAGTCAGACATTACACTTTTTTGATGATATTTTTTGACACAAAGCGAATTGTTCATTTCGAATTTATTCTTGAAAGCCAAACGATCGATCAAAATGTTTATCTTAAAATTTATAGCAATTATAAGAAATAATTCTCTGGAAAATATCTGAGAAACGTCGACAGAAAAATTATATGTTTCCTCGTCAGGCCACGTACAGTACAGTCCTTACAATCGTTACTTATCCAGAGAAATATGGACCTGCCATTCTTCCGCAATCACATCTATTCCCCGGATCTGGCTCCTAACCACTTTTTATTTACTCAAAGTTGAAAAACACTTTCAAGGGAAAACAGTTTGCGTCAACAAAACCGATACTTAAATCGAAAAATATTTTGCGACCAATAAAAAAGATGGTTTTTCTACAAAGAATAATATATGTTTCCTGAATCGTTGGAGAAA